AAAAACAATAAACATGAAAAAACCAGAAAATAAGGAAACAACAGAAATATAAAAAACAGATTTGTTTTTCGGGAACTAAGAAACAAAATGAATGCTGAGTGCGCCTGCGGCCTACATTGATTACAATCCCAACCACCACGACAGCAGAATAAAAAATTAAAGAGTGGGAGGTAGGAAAAGACCAGAACATGAGGTCCTGGGTGATGAAACGAGGAGTGCAGGGGCCCACGATGTAGGGAACCAGGTGCCCGTACTGATCGGGGCGAGAACGAGTACGTCATGGAGGTGGACGTCATGTAGGGCTACGGATGTTATTTTTCGGAGGTTATCCTCCTTATTCTTTTCTCTCATCTTTCCTTCCCGAGGGACTTGCCTTAGTAGCCTCCGTTGATACTGTCGGATTCAACGGTGATGCAAGGTGAGCTGGATGTAAGGTCGTCTCGGGAGCAGGACCAGGAACGTTGGTGAGAGGGAGGCCCTAACAATGATGTAACGGCTAATAGCAGGATACACCGCAGTAACGAGATGGCTCTCTTCTGAGACCAGGACAACTCTTCAGTGGCATTACCGCGCCAATGTCATGTCCCCCCTGTCCTTCACACCCCCCTCCTTACCTCTTTGAGAGCGTCAATGGGTTGAGCACAGCAACCGTCGAAAGTGGTCTGCGGGGCAAAAGGGAAAAAACTTAGCACTCGGCCAATTGTGTGTATGGCGCCGACACCGGATAACTAAGGGTCTTGAAAATGTCTCACAGCGGGATGGTGGGTTGAAGATTTTTGCTTTTTTCCCCTTTGGTGGGAGTGTGGAAGGTTCCCAAATCGAGGGATTGGGGGTGATGGGGGGAAGTATTGGGGGGGTTCTAAGTTAGAACGGGGGCAGTGGATGGGGGGGTTCATCACCGTCACACTTTTAGGCTCCATACCCATGTTGAGAAAGGTGGTTTCCGTACCTTTATAATGTTATAACTATCGCAACTCTGATGCACGAACTTTGCAGGACGGCTCACCGGTCTACCTGTTGTCCTTGTCGAGTTCTGCAGGGTGACAAGCCGATGCAGCAGTGGTGCAGAAGCGGGAACCTGGAATGCATGAAGGTGGCTCGATTTGTGAGGTAGGTAGGCACCTACAGGTGGGTTGGGCCAGAAGAAACCTGCATGCAGTGAGATGCCCGCTGCCACTGTTAACGCAGGCACCGCCAGGGGAAAAGAACGTCCCGCCCTAAGGCTGAATGGGGCCATTCCCGGGTTTCCACACGGCCAAGTGCAGCGGGTGTTGTGGCTTGCGCGGGAACTGACGCCTCAAGACTTTAGCACGGGGGTACCCGCGGCAAAGAAAAGATTGGCATGACAGGGGGTTGTCAGTTTTAGCGTCACCACACTTTTTGACCGCTTCACCGAACCAAGCCACCACGAGAGGGTGTTCTCTCTTTCATTCGTGTAACATCCATGGATAATACCCAATATGTGCATAGCAGGCGATGGGTGCACCAACCCGGAATAGCCGATATGGAGGACCAAATGCGAGCCACCTCTGGGCAGCCAAACTCTGCGATGCCGGCCTTGGTTTCGCGATTGACCCATCCCATCTGTGATAGGGTACTTTTGAACTCTCTCCCGCTGTCAGTCACAGCACGAAGACAAGCACGAGACCAGTCAATTAATTAAGCCTTGCCTTGCCGAGGTGGATTCCTTCTCAGCCCTATCTCACAGGCCATGCCGTGAGCTCGATCGAATGGACCCGGACTGGCTGACGGGCAACCCAAAGATGGCCGGCTCTTGGGTGGGATGCCGTGGACGGAATGGGGTAGCTCTCCACCAAGCAGCGGAATCCCGGCCGGCTCAGACAAACAGCAGCTGAATGCCCGGGTTCCCATTGGCCATGCCCCCTTCTCGCTCGTGCCGACGACGCAGTCAGCTCTTACGACTTCACTCAACTCAGGGGTAGGGTAGACTGAGGGGGGATACTGCAAGGAACCCGAGTGACTAAACTGAACTAGACACCATCTCAATCCCCAAAACCAAGCAGGTCAGATACAACCAGATTCGGCTTCCCAAGGTTTGCGACTTGTCTTTCGCAGCAATACCTACCGATCATCCTGGTAGTATTTAGTCCTGTCGGGTCACGCTACCCTCCGTTTCACAATCCCGACCTCACGGGCTCCCCGTCTTCCCTGCATTTTCCGTTTTCTTTCTCGATTGCCCCGCAGTTACCGCTGTTGCCCACGCCGAGATTTGCCCTTGACCCGACTTCGACACCGAAGCCATGGACTTCCATTCGCTACTTCGCAAAGCCAAACAGGGCATTGAGGATTTCCTGCCAGGCGAAGAGAGGCATTCGCATACCCATGATGGCCATGAGTGTCACGAGGACGATGCCCACGCCGAGTACGGCACCAACCGATACTGCTCATTCGCTCCGCAGAGTTCGGGTCACCCCAAGTGGTATGTCGACGGCGCCTCGTATTTCTGGGCCGTCTCCATGGCCCTGGAAGGTATGTACGCTACTACTTACGCTTTCGCATCATTCACTTGGCGACCCCCATCCCATCACACACTCTTGGCGCTAACCCCACGTGCTCAGAGGCTCGAGAATACATCTACATCCTGGACTGGTGGCTGAGGTAATTCTGCTACCCGCGATAAGCCGAGAGGCCATGACGTTGGTTGACACTCTGTAGTCCGGAACTGTACCTGCGTCGCCCCCCTGCCCGCAATGAGCGCTACCGCTTGGATAAGATGCTCCAGGCTGCGGCTGAGCGCGGCGTAAAGGTCTACGTAATTGTGTACAAGGAGGTGCCCCAGGCCTTGACATGTGAGCAGTCCCCTTTGGGCCATGTAGGGCGGGCCAGAACTGACGAGAAGAATAGTGAATTCGATAGTAGGATAGCGAACCACACACCCTGACCTCTGGACGACACTGACAGCCCGCAGCACACCAAGCATGCTCTGGAAGCCCTCCATCCCAACATCAAGGTCTTCCGCCACCCCGACCACCACCACAGTGGCAATGACTTTGTCACGGGACTCCAAGAGCTCCATTCCAGCCTGCAGAATTTCAGCCTGAAGACGTTCGATCTTGCCAGGGCGTCCCAGGATGCCGTGAAGTCACTCTACGGCACCGCAGATGATATCGTCCTGTTCTATTCCCACCATGAGAAACTCTGCCTCATCGACGGGAAATTGGCATTCATGGGTGGCCTGGATATGTGTAGGTTATGTGTAAAAAGCCATTGGGAGATCGTGTGCTGACCTGGCCGTTGTAGGTTTTGGGAGATGGGATACAAACAGTAGGCTATGCCAGACCAGACAAATTGTATGAAACCATGCTTACAAGTTAGGCCATCCCATCGCCGACGCCCATCCCGGCAACATGGATGATCTTGTGTTTCCTGGACAAGATTACAACAACGCCAGGATCTACGACTTTGAGGATGTCGAGAAGTGGGAGAATAACAAACGTGCGTTTTTTTCTGTATCCCCTTCCGCCCATCCCCAACCAGTTTTGTATGTTTTGCCCTTTCTTCGACCCCGACTGACAAAAGTCTAGTCGACCGCACCAAGAGCTCCCGGATGGGATGGTCGGATATCAGCATCAGCCTTTCGGGACCCATCGTAGACAGTCTGGCAATCCACTTCACCCAGCGATGGTAAGTGCCCATAACCTAGAATTTTCTAACGTTGTGCTGACCTCTCCTCAGGAACTTCATCTTCAACAAGAAGTACAGCACGCGGGACATTGGAAAGTACCAGCTTCTTCAGGCACCGCAGGCGCATCGAGGCGCGGAGAGCCACCTCTTGGGTGACGGCGAGGACTATTTTGGCGGGCTGCAAAACCGCTTCTCGCGGCACATGCACCGCTTCCTTGGGGACGAGGGAGAAGCACCTCGCGCGGCGCCGCACCGCGAAAGTGATGGCGCCCATATCCAGCTGACCAGAAGGTATGCATGTCTAGAACAAGAATACCATTGCCCGCCATGCTAACCCGAGCAGCTGCTGTAAATGGTCGATGGGTACAAGCACAGAGCACTCGATCGCCAACGCCTATATCGAGGCCATCAAGAACGCCAGACACTTTGTCTACATCGAGAATCAGGTTTGTCCATTGTCATTCGTGTTGTCAGATATGCGCTAACAGACCTCCATAGTTCTTCATCACTGCCACATCAGACAAGCAAAAGCCGGTTAGCAACAGAATTGGCCGGGCCATCGTGGACCGTATCGTCCGCGCCCACCAGAACAACGAGGAGTTCCATATCATCGTCATGATGCCTGCCGTCCCCGCCTTTGCTGGAGACCTCAAGTCCGAGGGCGCCCTCGGCACCAGGGCCATCATGGAGTTCCAGTACGACTCGATCAATCGCGGCGGCAGCAGCATTATCGAGACGCTGCGGAGCTCAGGAGTCGAGGACCCCCACAAGTACATCAACTTCTACAACCTGCGCAGCTACGACCGCATCAACTCGAGCGCCATCATGGGCCGCGCGGAACGCGAAAGCGGCGTGCGCTACGGGGAGGCCCAGCGCGAGTACAACGAGCGCTACGAAGGAGGCAGCCACGGCGACAGCCAATACCGCCGCTACCAAGAAGCCGCCAGCCACCTCTCCGACCAAACCTGGAACTCGGTCTCGGCCTGCTACATGGACAACGGCCCCGACCTGGGCAGCGTGCCCTGGTCCGGCTCACCCGAAGACGAACTCAACGCCTTCGTCTCCGAACAGCTCTACATCCACAGCAAAGTCCTCATTGCCGACGACCAGCTCGTCATCTGCGGCTCCGCCAACCTCAACGACCGCTCCCAGCTCGGCAACCACGACAGCGAAATCGCCGTCATCATCGAGGACCCCACCCCGGTGCGCTCCACCATGGCCGGACACGTCTACACCGCCTCCGCCTTCGCCACCTCCCTCCGCCGCCAGCTCTTCCGCAAGCACCTCGGCCTCCTCCCTCACCAACCCCCCGACGCCGCCACGCGCAACTGGACCCCCGTCACGCACGGCCCCCCCACCAACGACTACGACTGGGGCTCACCGGCCGACCGCCTCGTCCAAGACCCACTGGCGCGCGGATTCCTCGATCTCTGGCGCAGCACGGCGCGGCGCAACACGGAGATCTTCCGGCGGGCGTTCCACCCGGTTCCCGACGACGAGATGCGCACGTGGGAGGACTACGACCGGCTGTTCTCGCGGTATTTCGTCATGCCGGGGGAGACGGCGGAGCAGGCGGCGGAGGGGTACCAGCAGGGCAAGGTGGACTACGGGCACGTGCGGCCGGGGGATTTCCCCGGCGGGGTGCGGGAGCTGAAGGAGTGGCTGGGCGGGGTGCGCGGCACGCTGGTGGAGATGCCGTTGCAGTTTCTGATTGATGTGGATGATTTGGCCAAGGATGGGTTGGCGTTGAATACGCTGACGGATGAGTTGTATACGTGAGGTGAAGGGGAGGGGGGGCTATTGTAGGGAAGATTTAAGCTGGGTGGGTGTTTATCTGTTAGGGGCAGGATCAGGATGACTGAATAGCACACGACGTTGAGACAGCGGATGTCTCTTTGGGTATTCAGTTACTTCGGCAAGATAGGAGCAATCTAAGCGCAATCTTTTGACACCACTTCGCTGAGTGAAGATATTAAAAGCATAATGATGTGGAGGGGCCGCTAAACACGCTTGCGCGGTTCCGCCAGCCAGCGTTACAGAAACCCAGGTATTCCATTCATGACCACCCGACATGCCGTTCGAAACCGATCCTGCACCGCCAGGCCAGCAGCGCAGGACTTTTTTTAAAAGATACATAGATGTGTGGCCCCACTGACCAGCGAACCCTCAACCCCCGAGCACCACACCGGACGCCACAACCCGCAATCACTCGTCGTCTTCCAATTCCTCAACCCTTGGCGCCATATAGTTGCGCTGCTGCGGGCCCGTGGAGATCTGTGTGGAAGTTGCGGTCGTGGTAGCACTCGCGGGGGCCGGCTGTCCAGTCGCGCCGGAGAATGTCGCGCCGGCAGCTGCGGAACCGCTGGCCGACTTCTTGCTCTTCTTCTTTTTCTTGGCGGCAGCGGGCTGGGAGAAGTTAGCATCGTGCATTGGCAGGATCGATATAATAACAACGGGGCAAACTCACCTCGTGCCACGCCCAAACAGGCTTGAAGCTGTCCACGACCGACACGTCCTCCCACAGGTTGGGGAACAGCCAGAAACCGGGCGACAGGACGAAGTAGGTGATGCAGAAGAGAATAACACGGAAGATGGCCATGGCAAAGAACAAGCCCATGAAGCACAGGAAGGCCCAGCTGAGGTAGTACCCTCCCTGGCGCAGCTTGACGGGCCACAGCGGGTAGCAGACGACGGCGAAGATGGCGGCCAGGGCCAAGGCGGCATACACCTTGCGCATGACCTGGCTGCCCTCCCACAGCCAGACGTAGTACATATCGTCGCCGGCCTCCTGCTGCGGCTCGATGCGCACCGTCCACAGGCCCTTGGTGCGCTTGCCCTGCTTCTTGGCCGGCGGGCCGTGGTCGTGGCCCTCGTGCGGGTCCGACTTGACCACGCGCAGCGCAAGCATCGACAACGGGAGGAGCTTGAAGGTGTTCTCGAGCGACGCGCGGTCCGTGATCTCCGGGAGCGCGGGGTTCTTCTTGCGCGCGGCCTTGTAGGCATCCGACTGCAGGGCGCGGAGGGCGCGTTTGACCTAGGCCGGTTAGCGATGGCGCGCGTGGCGAAGGGTGGGGTGAAGTGGGCTTACTCTGAACATGTCCTTGCGCTCGCCATTGAGAATGCAGGTGCGCGGCTTGAGGGTCTGGCTACGTAGGAACTTGGCGAGAGCAATGGCAACGGGATTAGGCGGCCCCGGCACTATCGGCTGTTGTTGGCCCTGAGGCGGGTGTTGGTGTTGATGTTGGTGAGGGTGGGGGTGCTGATGCTGGTGTTGGTGCTGGTGTTGATGTTCGCCTTCTTGACCTTGCTGCTGTTGTTGCTGCTGCTGCGCTTGCATCCGCTCCTGTGCCTGTCGCTTGAGATGTTCTGCGACCGTTAGCTCGGGTCGAACACGTATCGATATCGGACGGCGACCTCACCAATGAACTGCGGCACGGTCATGCCCATCTTCTCGGCATCAATGGCAAGCTGTCGTTGCATATGGGCAATCTGCTCCGGGCTGGGCATCATGGGCATCTGCCCGCCCTGGGGAGGGCCCTGGGGAGGAGGGGCTTGCATCGTTCCGGATACTCGGGGAGGTCGACTTGTGAAGAGGTCGAAGCTGTCGAGAAAATGCCGATGCTGGTGTAGCACCTGTGCTCAAAGGCAGTGGAACTCGAATCGACCAACGTGATGGGATCAACTCGAATTCCGCGCAGATCTGTCCTGAGGGTTAATTGCGCGATGGCCGTGGAGCGAGTAGTGCCGAGTCGAAGTCGGTCTTGGTGGGTGGTTGCTGGTCTCCAAGTTTATTCGGTACACATCCGTACACGTATCTCAGAACAACCCCTGCTGCATCTTTCTGGTCTGTGCTCCTGGCACCTTGCTCCAGAAAGCTTGGCGCTGCAAGCCATGTTTATGTAATTCATGAATGTATTCGCTCTTTCATTATTCCAGGCCGAGACATTTTGGAGGCTTGGTCCGGGCTTTCTGCAGGGCTGATTTCAATCCGCAGCCTCCGCCACTGCCGCTTCCTGCACCCCGCGCGCCTCAGCCCTCTCTCATGGCACCCTTCGAGAAGCCCAAGTGACGAACCAAGCCGTCGAAACCTGCAACATGGATGGCTGCAGCGGATGAACGGTTTCAGAATCATGCTTCTGTCGTTTATTGCGTGTGTCGTGTGCGATACTGCGACGCGCTAGGCTTGTTTCGGCGGGTTGTCTCACTAACGCAAGCTCTGAGCCACTGGATTTTGACATTTGACATGTCCGCAAACTCACCATCTCAACGGCTAAAAAATGGAAACGCGATGGGAACGCAGCCAGCGCGGCGCCTCCTTCACCTCGCTCACCCAAAATGACGGTTCCCATTGCAACCCTCTCGTTTGAGTGGCTTCGCTGAGCATGAGTTATTTGCGCATTCCAGTGCTCCACACACACTTCGGCCTGACAACAGAACAAAAACAGACTGGAGCAAGTCCACACTGATCTGATGAATGAATGTTTGGCAGAGACAGCCCCCTGGAACTCGGCATCCCTTGTCAACGTTACTTGGGAAAACCCTCCCCACAAGGGCATCATGGCAGAGGCCCCCGCGCAACGCGCAACCCCTTTTTGACACAATACCCACCAGTTCGGCGCGATGGGTAGACTGTACCTTGCGTCTGCCTGTCGGATGGCTAGCATCTACCGAGATCGAAACATGCGGGCAAGGGTCTCCCATCTGGCCCGGTTCCCAAGAGATCTCATAATCCACAGCAGGTCCCAGCAGGTCCTAACGTTGGTCGCGGCCACGCCCGCCGTGCCGTTGGGCTCGGTTTCAGGAAAGAATAGCAGCGCCCCATCGCATGGCCTCCCTCAGATCTGAATCTGCTCTGTCCATTGCCAAATAAGCGGATCGGGCTACACGAGACCCAGCCAATCTTGACGGCCACGAGGCCCCCTTTCGCAGACGTTTGTGGCAATGCGGTCGAGACGGTGGCCGGTGTCCAAGAAACGAGTGAGACATGACACGCAGTGCGGCACCTTTCGCGACATGTCACTGGTCAGCCTCCCACGGCGGGTGTGGACATGTCGCCCGCGACATCACCCTCCCCCGGTTTTGTAAGCGCCAACTGGTTCCTCGGCCAGGCCCCGCCAGCCTATCAGATGCCGCCCCCTGCGACCTCACATCCGGCCACTGTCCACCACTAAGCCAGCACTGCTCAGCCGGCCTGCAGAGTGTGCTACACTTTCGACCGCCAGCCGTGATGTTATGTAAAGATGGCTGGTCCGTCCGCGCCGCCGCGCTCTGCCTCCCTTCCCATTCCCATGTGCTCTGTACATTTTCTTTGTCCTGGGTGCTGGTCGCTGGACGTGTCCTTTTGTTTCTTTCACACCGAGGCATGAGTCCTTCTCTTTCCCTTTAGTGGCTGCTTGAAACCGCCAGCATGGATACATTTTCTTCATGGTTTGCTTCCTTTGCGTCATGTTGTGGCCCGCGCGAGAGATCTGGGTCGACCGAGTCAAGCCGCCGGCTTGTCTCGAACCGTACGCCGAACCTGGTCGGCGCCGAGAGGAATATCGTCGTCTTGCGGGACCAGCCCGCCGTCATCCCCCGGCCATCGGCAGAGCCGGCGTGGTCGAGTGAGAGGACGTACGAGAAGACGCTCGACAGGGAGGCAGAGCGGACGAGGTTACGGAGGCCGGCGAGCCGCGACAGCTCCGTGAGGAAGAACTGGTTTTCGGGATCGTCGTCCTCGGTCCGCCGGCTGCAGATATCAGGACCAACAGATTTCCGTCACCTACAATCCGAGTCATTCCAGTTCCCTCCGCAGGAGACAAGGCCACGTCCCCGCTCGTTCCGGCCGATCGAGCTCAGCATCTACCAGCCGGACAACCGGCTGTCGGCCATCCTTCCGCACGTCGACTGTGAGATCACACATCCGCCCCGGGCCTACACGGGGAACAGCTCCAAGTGGGACGCCAGTAGCAGTTCGACGCTCACCAACGAGCGGGGGCACCACCAGACCATGTCGTTCCACATTCCACGGAAGCACCGCCGGCAGGAGTCCGGCATGTCCGAGGGCAGTATGAGCCCGCCGAGGATACCACCCAAATCCAGGGCGCGTGCTTCGACGGCCCCGAACACGGAACGGATCGTCGCACGGATCGCTAGCGCCATGATCGAGAAGGAGAGGCTGCAGGCTGAGATCAACTCGGTGGTGCAGCGGCAGAGCGCCTACTTTGGCAACCGGCCGCTGACCGGCTTCGACATGGGTGGTGCGTTACAGTCTGCCTCCCACGCGAGAGCCCAGCTAACATCCACAGACATCGAACCCATGCCTTCGATCCCGGCCTTGCCGGCAGCCGCCCCGTCGTTTGCCCAGCGCCTTAGCCTCGACGACCGCCCTCGCATCGCGCCGTCGCGGGTAGCCAGCATGACAGTGCAAGAAAAGACACTGAGCCTCACCGCAGCTGCGCAGTCCCAACCCCCGCAACCCTCTTTCTTCGCCAGCGCCCGCCGCCGCGCCAGCTCGCCCGAGAAGGGCTCCGAGCGTCTCGAGCGGCCCCTTGCGCCACCCCTCCCCCTCGTCCTGCGGCCGCCCCTCCGCAAGAAGAAATCCTTCTCCCGCGTCTCCCACTGGCTCTTCAACCCCGACGAATCGGACGAAATCCCACAAAGCGCCGACACCACCACCCCCACCACCATGACCTTCGGCACTACCACCGCCACCACGGCCCCAACAACCACCACCACCTCCCCACGCCCAATCAAGGAATCCGACGGGTTCTACCAGTGCGTAGCCCCCCCCGAGGGCCTGCCGCGCACCAGCATGGAGACGTCGTCCTCGGTGTACACGTGGGAGACGGGCGGCGACGACGACGAGGGCGACGAGAGCGCCAGCGACGGCGGCGCCAAGACCCTGCCTACCACCACGGCGGCCTGGTCGCCCGATCAGACGCCCAAGCAGGGCTCGTCGACGAGGCATACCACGCCGGTGATTGGGTTTGATAAGGCTGAGTTTCAGAGGGAGATTGCGGCTTCTGGCGGTGGTGGTGGTGATGGGTTGGGCGTGGTGAATCCGTATGTGAATGGCCCGAGGCCGATGAGCGTGGGTGTGGCGTTTTAATTTTATCACCAACCTTATCTTCTACTTTTTTCTTTCTTTTGTTTACTCTGGGTATTGATACCCCCGTACCAGTGTATCTGTAGGGATGGAACTTGGGATGGATGGATATATAGAGCGGTGGGTTGGCTGGGAAAATAGATGCCCTGGGGTTGCGCCGAGCTGGATGCTTGGCGACAACGGGCTGGCATCTATCTATCTGATCGGGTAATCAGGGACAAGGAAGGGGGTTGTTTGGCGACAGGTTTGCTACATGGCCCGGGGCTGGCCATTACTGTTACTACTACTACCGATGATACCATGGCGTTGTGTTTTGATACCTCCGCAGATAGACAGACAGAGCAGAGCTTATTCAAGAGATTTCTTGCTGGCACACCAACATACACGGATAAGCATGTCCCTGCGCCTGCACTTGCACCCCTCCAGCCGACTGCAACTATGATCTGTCGAGGTTGTCTGAGACGGGTCGTAACCGCCGCGAGTGCATGTCTTGAATCAATATCACGCAGCTGGGGAAATTAGCTAGCCGCCGAGTAGGTCTCGCTCGGCTCGGCGGGCGGGTCTTGGTGTCACGGGTCTCAGGGGAGTTGCACGGAGAGGGAGGCACGCAACAGAGCGGAAGATTGGGGAGCTCCGGGAGCTCCAGGGCTCCAGTTCCATGCCAGATACAAGGAAGCTTCCATGTACCGATGGGAAACATATGAGCCGCTCCTTGGCGTCGTGGTGCAAGTTGGGCTGCGGCGTGGGCTGATCCACGCCGCAGGTTTTGGCGATCGGGAATTGGTGATTAAATCCCAGGCAATTGGATTTTTAGAACAGTGCAGGCGTAAATTATACTTGAAATTAAAAAAAAATGCGAAACCAGTCTGGGTCTGGCACACAGCAATCTCGACTCTTTTGGCGATGCAACGACAGCTCGAGTTTGATACACCAATGGCTGCTGCCGTCCGTCATCACGTCAGCACGTGTAAAAGGGCCAGAGAAACCCGGCCGGGCCGTGCTATTTTCGGAAGCGGGATATGGATTGATCGACTTGCGATCCCGAGACCCGGTCTTTCCGTCCGGGCAGGTTTCTCAGCCATGATCGTTGTTTGTAGGTTACAACGTTGTTTGTTGGCCATGACTGTTGACCCGGGCCGAGTTGGGACCTGGAAGGAAACCCGTGCCGCGCCGGGGCCAGGCTCTGCCCCAGCGCCGATCGTCAACCAAGCTGCCAGGGGTGCAGTGGGGCTGCACGTGGGCTGCTTTGGTGGTGGGTTTCAGGTGCAGACCCACAGTTAACGTCTTGGCTCGGCCAAGTGGCTGCTCGCTCGGCTGGGCTCGGCCAACGCACACGGAACCTTGATCAACTTCTCGGGGGCGGTCAACATTCTGGACTTTTGTCGGTGCTGGGCATCGACCATCAACTTAAAAACCGGGTTTGCAAAGGGATATCGCACGATTAACGAATACGGCTAAGCTAGACTTATGTCGGCATGCATTCCTGATTTTAAACCCCCAGCAACAACAAACTGACTACGCCGTGCCGATCACTGACAGGAGACGGCCGCAACAAGATGGCCTCGCTCATGGACTGGTTCCGCAGGGGCCGCTCGGGATATGCGCCTCTTTCGGGCCCCAACGGGGTCCCTGATCAGAACACCCGGCCGATGGGGACTCGACGCGCTACGAAGATTGCCGGCCTCACGCTGATAGTGATTGTGGTGGGCTATCTGGCCGTCAACTTCATGTCCGTTCTCCTTGCCCTTGACATCTGCCCAAGCTAACCCCCATAGGAAACCCGGGCCTCCAAAATGTGACACGCCTGAACGGAGCTACCAATGCGGCACTTCCATCTCCCACTCCTGGGGCCAGTACTCGCCCTACTTCTCGGTGCCGTCCGAGATTGACGCCTCCATCCCTGATGACTGCGCGTTGACCTTTGCCCAAGTCCTCTCCCGCCACGGGGCGAGAGATCCAACCCACGGCAAGACCCTGCTGTACATCATCCTCATCAACAAGATCCAGCAGGCCGTCGCCTCCGGATCGAGCTCTTACGGCCCGGGCTTTGAGTTCCTTCGCGACTACAACTACCAACTGGGCTCAGATCAGTTAACCCGCATGGGCCAGCAACAAATGGTCAACTCGGGACTCAAGTTCTACGACCGCTACCGCTCTCTCGCCCGCGATTCCATCCCCTTCGTCCGCGCCGGCGGCCAGGACCGCGTCATCCACTCCGCCGAGAACTTCACCCAGGGCTTCCACGCCGCCCTGCTCGCCGACCGCGACTCCACCGCGCGCCCCCGCCTCCCCTACGACATGGTCGTTATCCCCGAGACCCCCACCACCAACAACACCCTCCACCACGGCCTCTGCGACGCCTTCGAGCGCGGCCCCTACTCCACCATCGGCGCCTCCGCCCAAGCCACCTACCTCGCCACCTTCGCGGAGCCCATCACCATCCGCCTCAACGCCAACCTCCCCGGCGCGAACCTCACCGCCGACGAAGTCATCTCCCTCATGGACCTCTGCCCCTTCGAAACGGTCGCTTCCCCCGGCGGCGCCACGCCGGCCCCCTTCTGCCGACTCTTTACCCCCGCCGAGTGGCGCCACTACGACTACTTCCAGTCCCTCGGCAAATGGTACGGCTACGGGCCCGGCAACCCGCTCGGCCCCACCCAGGGCGTCGGCTTCGTCAACGAGCTGCTGGCCCGCCTGACGCGCCGGCCCGTCCGCGACGGCACCAGCACCAATCGCACCCTGGATGGGGACGCCGAGACCTTCCCGCTGGATCGGGCGCTGTACGCGGATTTTAGCCACGATAATGATATGATGGGGGTGTTGGGGGCGCTGGGCGTGTATGATGGGGTGGAGATGCTGGATAATAGCACCAGGCAGGAGCCGGCGGAGAGTGGGGGGTATGCGGCGGGCTGGGCGGTACCGTTTGGGGCGAGGGTGTATGTCGAGAAGATGCGGTGTGGGGTGGAGGGGGAGGAGAAGGTCAGGGTGCTGGTGAATGATCGGGTTATGGCGTTGAGGGGGTGTGGGGCGGATGAGAGGGGGATGTGTGACCTGGGACGGTTTGTGGAGAGCATGGCGTTTGCGAGGGGGGATGGGAGATGGGATTTGTGCTTTGATTGAGATGGTGACTGCTTTATTGATACCCCGGTTACGTTGGAAAGAGATTATGAACGGGAGTTGAAGGGTAAGGATAACAAATTACACATTGTACTTGTTCTGGGGCTTGCCTGGGATGCTGCACGCCCCTCGGTGAGGACATATGGGTAAACGGCTCTCGTCTCATCATCTATACTATGTGCTTTCTTTCGTATTTTGCTACAGTAATTATGCTCTGACCTCACAAGCATGGAACCCGTAATCCACTAAGGCGGGCTCTTGGCACAGGTTAACCGATCGGTGCAGGCTTGGCATCGGCGGGGCTGTTGCTTGCGGGTTTCGGGCCCTTCGGGAGCAGCCAAACGCAGCCATAGGGCGACACGCAGCCGGGCCGCAGCAACTTCCAACTTGCGCCTTGATTTCCTCCATCGCGCACCCAACTTTGTTTGCCAAAGCCGAAAAAAATCCCTCTTTCTCCCAATGCCGACCTCAGCGCTCGCGCATCCCAATTGAGACCTGGTCCTCCTCGCAATCCCGCATCGACCGACTTGCATCCAGCACAACACCGCCACCAACAACACAAACCAACCCACCATGAACACCGCCGGCGCGGTCGTCCTCGCCATCGTCCTGCTACTCCTAACAGTAGGCATCGGCTGGGTCATCTTCACGCGCGTCCGCGCCTCCCAGCTCGGCGTAAGTCCAACTCATCCCATCCCCCCAAACCAAGCCAAACCACCCTAACTAACCCCCCCCCCCCCCATAGTATCCCCCCACCCCCCCTAAAATCCTACATTCTCTTCTTGGACCGCTTCCCCACCCCCTAAACCGGGCCCACCCCCCGGAGGGGTGGTATCTTCGGGCTGGTTCTCCGACACATTCCACCTCAACGGCCCCGGTGGCGGCTGCAACGCGCGCACCGCTCCGGGGGCCTTCGAGGGCCCCAAGTCTTCGGGGCCGGGGTTGTATAACGCGGCATATGTCAACGGTGGTGGGAGTGGGGGGGGGATCGGGTCTAGAAAAGGATATGACCCGTGGGATTCGAGGGTGGGTGGGTATAACCCGTATGAGGAGGAGAGGGAGCTGGGGTTGGTGCCGCCTGGTGGTGGGAGCGGGGGTGGGGAGGGGTATGCGATGAATTTGGCGGTGGCGCCGGGGGGGTCGACGGGGGTGCCGGCGGTGGGTGGTGGTGACGGTGGTGGTGGGGAGGAGGAGAGGCGTGGTCGGCCGCGCAGTCGGTCGCCGGGTCCGGGGCAGGGGCAGGGCGTTGGTGCTGCTGCTGCTGTGAGGGATCCATTTGGTGATGGCGCCGAGCCGAGTAACTTGAGCTTGCGCGGGGTTAGTCCGAGGCCGATGGATGATGGCGCGTCGTTTGCGGCGAGGAAGGCTGCGAAAAGGGAGGAGGATCGGAGGTCCATGTTCCGGGAGGAGGTTTGAGGCTATGGTGGGTGGGTAGGCGGGGGGTAGGTGGTAATTTGTCGGCGCTCTCTCTTTCTCGGGTGCTGTATTTCACGGGTTTTATGTGCCTTTTCGGGGCGAGGTGTTTTGGGGCCGGCTACTGTCTGGGACATTTCGGGATCTGGTAGGGACCTGGGCTGGGTTTGGGCAGGAGTTTGGCCGGCTGCTGGTTTTGGGCAAAATTTACCTACAATCTTTTATGCGATCGGTATCGTTCTCCCTCGCTTCGCTACGCACTCTTTCGGATAATGGTGCTCTCGCTAACCAAGCATGCTCGCCCGGGGACGGCGGCGATGGGAAGATGGCGAAATGCCATGACGGGGAGTTGTGGCCATCAAGTCGTTGGCCACCCTGAGGGGTACTGCGTGGACTCTATGCATTGAGGAGGGGTAAGACTGAGTCCAAATATCAAAGACACAGACGACGTTTCTGTGCCTAGTTCCACGAGTACGACGCAGAATCGTCATGTTTCACCATTGGGAGCAAAGGAAAAAGGGCCAACCGATACACTGCTAGAACGAACTATCCGAGGCTAAGAAACATGTATTCTACCGTAGGTATGTACAAAACTCAGCCAAACCCCTTTTCACGCCCAAATTGCTTCTAGCCCCACAATCTGAATTCTCCCTTTACTCCCTCTGGCCACGGTTGATACCACGACCGCAGCCCTTCCCAGGCGCGGCGCTCTCATCAGCGGCAGCAGCAGACGTGGTAGGAGCGGCGGTCTCATCGGCAGCCGCAGCAGTGGTAGGCGTGGCAGTCTCAGCCGGCGGCGGCGAGCCGGTAGGCGAGCCTCCAGGACCACCAGGGCCGCCAGGACCTCCAAAGCCTCCACTTGGGTTGGCAACACCGCCGCCCTCACCGTAGTACACGGCCGGGTTGATGGCCTCGGACCTGGACGAGTCAATACCGAACGCAATCCACGCGAACAGACCATCCTCGATGCTGTCGCCGAGCAGGGTGTACTCCATGACGGGGTCGACCCCCTCGGTGCCGGCCTCCTGCGCCATGATGCCGTCCTGCGCGTTGGTGGTCAGCGGCTGGGTGTTGCTGGCGTAGGGCTCGACGGCCTCAACCGCGGAGATCAGCGTCTGGTCGAAGAAGGTCTGCCCTACGTGGCTGGCGTAGTTGTCCAGGCCCAGCGTCTCGTTGGCCTGCAGCGTCGCGTTGGTGTGCACCATGACGTGGATGTGCGGCGTGCGGCCCGTGTAGTGGCCCGGGAACACCGACTCGAACTGCGCCACCCCGTCGGCGTTGGTGGCCTGGATGCCGCGCAGGAAGGTGTTGTCCAGGTTGGACGCGTCGCTGCTGTCGCCGTTGCCGTTGGCGACCACGCCGCCGTACACGCCGGTGGCGTTGCAGTGCCAGATCTCGAGGTACACTTCGGGGATCGGCTCGCAGGAGTCGATGTCGATGACCTGGTAGTCGAGGAGGAGGGGCACGCCGGCTTGGTCTTCGACGACATCCTCGCGGACGTACTCGCCGGCGACATCTGGGGCGGGTGTTAGAGTGCGATGAACCAAAGGGGGTGATCGAGGGCTGAGAGCGGAAGCTTACAGTACGGTCCTTGGGTCACCTCAGGGGTGAGAAGGCACGACTTGTAGCCGGAGAAGAGCGTGGCGGCGTCGGTGTTGCGGGTGTAGCCCAGGGCGGTCTTGTTGTGGTCGGTGCCCAGGACGGCGTCGAAGTCGCGCTTCTTGAGGCCGCGCTTCCGGCGGGCCTTCTCGACGACGGCCTGGCGTCTGGCCACGTTGCGCGCGCTGGTGCCGCGGGCCTTGAGCTTGTCGGCGCAGTGGGCGAGCGAGGTCCGCTTGACGGACTGGAGGTAGCTGCGGCGCTCCGCAGCCTCCTGAGCGACGTCGTGGCCCGGGTGGGCGGTGACGAGGCTGGCGAGGGCCGCGAGACCGGAAATAGCCTTGGTGAAGTGCATGATGAGGTAGAATCAATAGGATGGAAGCTGAGGAGTGAGGGCTGTTGGTGATGAGAGGACTTGGTCGAGAAGCTGCCGTCCCAGTACATCTATATACTGCTCAACACTATCCCCAGCCCCATACTAATGACACCATCTGCGCCTCTCCATATCAACACGCGGCGCTGGGCGAAGCCATGGCGTTTCCAAGGGCCTTCCCTGTCCACCAACCAGATGTTTCATGATCATCGCCCACGATGCCATTGGTGCTCTTACTGCGGACGCAACTCCTCCCCGGCGTCCCCGCGTTGCTATGCCGAAGCGGACCAGGGTCACGATGCACTGGAACATTAACTCCCGGATGTAAATGCCATTTTGAGCCTCCCTGATCGGCAACTACCGCTTTCCCGGCGCCAGACCTCCTCGCCCGTGTCTTGGCTTGAGCTTGGTTGGACTCGTAGTGATTAAGGGGCCGACTCGACGCGCAGCTTTCAAGTTTAAGCGGATATATGGTGGAGCCAGGATTACGCACGCACGCATGCTCTCCCACATCCCGAACCGAGAGGGCTTCTTCCGGGCTACGGGCGGTGATCGACAGTGACAAGTGGGACCGCCATGAACTCAACCTTCCGATCCATACGGGTAATTACTTTTCCTGTGATTGGGCAATGGCATAAAAGAAAATATCTCGACGATGAGGCTCGAGAACACGACTAGGATATCCTAGCCACGAGAACAATATGGGATCACGGAGGTGGCAGGTTTAAATTTGAAGCATACGCGTCCATGGCAATGGTCCTAGCCATATCACCATTCTATTTATGCATCTCCGGTACGGGTACCCATCGATTAGCGATGGAGGAGAGGGCGGTGAAAAAGCCAGCACACATGGGAACCTAACTAAGAATATGACGCGGGTTGATGTTTCGAATCATCTCCTCCAAGTTTGATTATATTTCCCTAAGAATTAACCCAACTTCCCCTCTATCCAGAGAAGATTATGAAATTAATGCAACGTAGTTATCCTTAGGTCTTCCTCACGGCTCCGGGAGGCTGACACTATAGGTTGTATGATATAGGTTAATGTTTTTGTCGTCCGTCCCTTTCGGCCAGCCAACTGTATACCTACCTAGGTATTCAGAGTCGCAGAAGTGTTCCATTTGCCGACGGTCACTTCTTGGGATACTTCATCTAGGTACCTAGGTATTTACCAGACACTCGCTCACACACTCATTCGTACACGTCACGAACTCCATGCCCTCCACGGATGCGGTCTCAATCGCTGTGCAGGGGGCGGGGTGGACCTCCTGTAGTCGCGAGCGGTTACCTCCAGTACCTATTCGGTTGAGGAAGTTCGGGGTTGGAGTCCGTTTCCTTTCGGCCTGGCCCGGCCAACTCACGCTCAATATCTGAACCAACCCACGAGAGTCTTCTAAGTCATTCTCGGCTCGCTGTACCTACCACTCATGTTCACCACGTGGTGTGTTGAGGATCCTAAAAGTGATTCCGTGAACCAGTCTCTATTAATGGTCATCCTATGCCACCAGGGCATATCTAACCTCCCTAACCCGGCCACCAGGCCACGGGCCACGCGTTCTAAAACCCCTTGCGATCAACCAGCGCAAGGTACTTAGTACCTAGGCAGGGGGTTGCCTGCTCATTACAGGGGTAAGCTCCTCGACGAGCATGTAATCCTCCGCTCCATACACGTCATCAAAGATGCTGTATAAGATCTGTTGGCGTCGTTCTTGGGCGTAGTCGGCGTCGTATGCGCCCAAGCCCCGCAACTCTGTCCGCGCAAGGTCAAACGCTGCGCGATGAATGTTCCGGATTATATGAAGGTATCGGATCGTCTCGGCTGGGTTCCCCAATTTGCCCGCCCTGTCGCGGAGGTTCGCCCATCTCTGTGTCCACTGTCCCCGAAGATTCGCCTCCACTGCCGTGCCCTGGCAAACATTGCAGGGTTCAGTTGATTCTGCCCTGGTCTTGCTGCGTCCCCCTGGTTGCCAGTTTAATTGCTTTGCACCGAACGTTCGCAACTGACGCAAGGCAGCCGCATTGCGGGTGACATACGGATAGGATATAGCACATTGTTGTGAATTCCAGTAGTGTGCAGTTGTGTCCGTTATTGATAACCCCGGGCACGTAAATGAATTTGTACCAGGATAGGTAACTACTGGTGTGTGAAATAGAGGTGATGCTTGGCGGTGGGTGCCGACTACTAGCATGAAGTGGTGGATAGCTTGCCCGGCGGCGATTGGAGCCCTATAAGTACCTAGTTTACTCAACATGTTGACCCAAAGCATGACATTGAGCCGCTAGGGAATTCAGATCGAGATGTCTCATAGCAACTTTCAGGGGTTACATCTTTGTCCCTGACCTTTCTTTCTTTTTGAGTGCAGCAATCTACCGAGTAATGTGTGTCCAACCGTTAGCGACGAAGACAAAAGTTGCATCTCACTGGTTTGTATCACGATTAGCCCCAGAAACCAATCCTCTTATTTAGGTATCTACCCCAGATGGTCCGAATCACAAGCTGGCTTCCCCTGGCCACAGCAACTTAAAACCCGCATTTCACCGCGTGCTCCGATATCTAGCATTGATCCACGACCACCCAGAAAAGAGGTGTAGGTTACACAATTTTATATTCATTATCCTTTTTAATCTACCGTTCTCTATAACATCCCGCGCCCGACCAAATTCAGATCGTGATCATCAGGTCATGAACAGTCATGAAGCAAACCAACGCCCTGCTTCGCCGTAATGTCCAAAACGCCAATAAAGCAACCGTAAAAGCACCTTGCGCCATCCCATGTCAAAATCCCACGCCCGTGTATCGCGGGTCCGCTACGCCGCCATGCACCGCCCGAGATCCAAAAAAAAAAAAAAAACCACCGTCATGACTGCCACACACCATTTTTCTCCCTCTTCCTGTTTCTCCCTACACTCTTTCTTTGCCCAACATTCCTCCGGATTACTCCTCCACGTCCATCGGCCTCTTCCCTTTATCCTCGCGCTGCCTCTTCACCGCAAAGCACTGCACGGCACCAACCACCGCCACGGCAGCACTGCCATACCAGGCCAGCGCAGTACAATCAACCTTGCGGCCCATGGCGTACAGATAGCCAGCAACCGGCGGAGCGACCATGCGGCAGGCGGCGCCGGCGCTCGCGGCAAGACCGTTGACGCGGCCTAGCACCGTGGAGCTGGGGGTGGCCTCCTTGATGAGGATGAGCAGCAGCGGGTAGAGCAGGATAGAGAAGAAGTTGCGGACGGCGAGCACGGCGTAGATGGCGGGCCACAGGGCGGCCTCGGGTACGTACAGCAGCCACGGCACGAGCAGGTACACGAGCGGGTGCAGCACCGTGATGAAGAGGAAGAGGCGGTAGATGCCGACGCGGTCCGCCATGATGGGAAACACGACCGCCTGCATGAAGAGCGCGATGGCGCCCTGCTCAGCCATGACGACGCCGACCGCCTGCAGCGACATGCCTAGCCCGCCGGGGGAGTAGAAGGGGTTGCCGCTGGCCAGGGCGAGGGTGGTGGGGATGTTGTTGTTGGGGATGCGGTCGTCTTCGAAGAAGATGGGCAGGAGGTGGTCGAAGGTCATGGAGTGGTAGGTGAAGATGGAGAGGGCCAGGATGATGGCCATGATGCGCCTGTAGAAGATGCTGATAGGGGGCTGTTGCTCCTTGGTCCAGCTGGGCGAAGCCGGGGGAGCCGCGTCGCGCGAGCGCATAGTGCCGTAGTTCTCGTTGCGGAGATCGACGGCGGGGCGCTTCATGGCGTCTGAGGTTTCTATGAGAGGGGTGTTCTCAGAGAGGTAGGGGAATCGGAAGAGTAGAAACACTTTGGTGAAGGTTTGTTTTCTCCATGTGCAGATTCCTAGATTAGACCTCTATCCTATTTCACCGATGATGGTACCGATGCTCCAAACAAATAGGCACTGCGAAAATTAGTAGGGGTCGAATTGTGGGAAGAGGTGGTTAGGAACTCACTGATGGAGTATGCACGGGCTGTTTCCAGTTAGCAGATGCGATGACTAAGGAAGAAAAGGGGGTGAAGTAGAAAACATACGCTCATGCTCTGGCTTCGTAACCAGCTCGCCAAACCATGGTCTGGATGACGCCGATGTTGCCGTTTAGCAGACCACCGAGGGCCCGGCCGATCAGAGCCACCCAGATGTTCTCGGCAAAGCCGACCATGACCATGCTGAACATGGTGCCGATGCATCCAAGCAGCAGGACAGGCTTGCGTCCGACGCGGTCTGACAGACCGCCCCAGTACATGCCCATCAGGGCCTCCGCCAGGGAGAAGGCCGAGATGAGCAGACCGGCATAGAACGAGGCGTCATCTTCGTTACCGACCTCGAATCGCTTGATGAGGGCCCAGGCATACGGGAAGATGGAGGTGAGCGCGATGGGCTCGGCAAGACGGACAATGGCTGGAGTGAAAGGGTTAGCTACAGGTTTACGAAGTAGTTTATTTAAGTTGTTGTCACTGCGAGGTGGCTGGCTTACCTAGCAGAAATAGCTGGACCGTGGGGAATTCATCCGGGTTACGGTGACTTGTTCTTTGTGTTAGAGTCATTGCTTCGCGGTATGGCTTTAATCTTACGCTGTCCGCAGCACCGGATGGGTGATGCGCCACAGTATCTCGCTCTGTTGTCGTCTGAGTGGTTATCCCCGAAAGTGCAAGTGAGAGAGAAGTCACTCGATATCCCCTGTTGCAGTGTTTGGCTCAAAACATTGGGAACAAGAAAGGCAACACAAAAGAGAGCGAACCGAGCTTAAGAACCAAACTTTTGTTGAAGAGGGGAAGGTGCGCAGGTGCCACCGACATGCAAAATTTGAATGACAAGGGTTCATGTGGTTGATGTGCATGGCCCATGCTCTGGACCGGCCAGGATCGGGAGGTGAGTGTTCGATCGAGTTCCAGGCACAGTCCCGCCCAGCTTTCCCAACACGGCCCCAACCATTTTTCACCTCGCCTACCTACTGCCTGTTCGCATCGCTCTGTCCCCAGGCCGTTCACTGCCTAGTTCTACCAATGCAGCTGCCATTTCTGAGGCTTCCTCCATCCTCCATCCTAGCCATCAATAGTTGCAGTTTTGTATCTCTTGCATGCGGCACTCTGCATGGACATCCTGGCGGAGAGATGTTCCCCGTCGCATGTGGTTCGTCCTTCGGAAGAATGCCAGAAAGGAACGTTGCCCCTCCATGAAATGTTTCAGTGGCGTTCGGTTGGTCGGACCGGGCACCCCCTGTCAAGCAGTTACTAACTGTACGGACACGGTGTGGGGCTTTTAGGGTTTAATCGCACCTCAGTCCTTGAAAGTATCCTATGTTTTTGATGAAACTGCAAGCTTATCTGCTCCAGATGATAGAAGTGAAGTCTTATCTCTAGATTATACCGGCTTCCAAACCCAATCCCCGTGGTCGCCAAGGGAGGCCGTTCCGTTAATCGGCAACGATAAGAAAAACAGTGCGGTTCACTCGCCAAGGCCGTTCAACAAGGATCTGCAGATGGCTGAGGTTGCCCGCTGCGATCCTTGCAGCCCTCGCGCGCTAGCAGGGCCGAGGTTTTGTGGGGAAAGCTTCCTGGTTTTGCTCCGATATCTCTGACTCTGCATTTTTTATATCGTCATGGAAACCCTCGGATTGGCCGGCCACCGTCACATCACTCTTTTTCACCGTCGGTCTGGTGTTCACAGGCTCACAGGACACGCGTATCTCGGCTCCACGAGAAAAAAAAATACTCTCTCCTGTGCTGCGCCGAGGAAGGGATCAGCAGATTTCTTGTGCAGTGTTGTTTCCTGTCGGCAGCCGATGCCGGTGAGCGGTGAGCCCTTAGCGGGCTTTGGCTTCGTGTGTTGGTCCCATGGTGGTGGAAATGGGGTTTGGAAGAACTGATTGTGCAAGACACCGATATCTGATAACTGTGGCGATAGAGATCGTATACCTTACTTGAATTGCTGCAAAGCCTTCTAAACCCTGCCGAACCTGCGTCGAAAGTTTGTTCAATCATCGCGCTTGTGGAGACGACGATTCTCGGTTCCCTGTTGTGGTGTCGGACACAGCGAGATCCACACGGTGGCGGTGCGACACGGGTCTGGGATGCGACATGTGAGCTGCTTCCGACATTACCACCCTCTGATAACGAGAGCCCGAGTCAGGAATTGTCCAGCTCGGGGAAAGAAGAACGACGAGTCTCGCCGCGAGCGCTTGTGTGGAGAGACTTGTCGTTCTGGGCCTGGTCAAAGAACGCTATTGGCCCCCTCTTTTACTGCACGCTTGCGGCTCGAACTTGGGTGTGTGGCCCACATATGCACGACGCCGTCCGGCATGCGCCCTGTTTAGCCGAGTACTGCCGTCTCATCCGCGGAACCTCCTCGAGGATCAAGTCAATTCCGGACTCGCACTGTGTACCTCGCGGAATGGGTGGCGCTGTTGACATCACCGCGAGCGTCATGTGGGATGAAAACGAGGAGCAAGTCATCGGACGGTGTTTCACCTCGGGTGCGCCACCCGGCTTCTGAGAATGCAGGAGGAATGGCTTTGTGAGACGGACCGGAATGCTTTGGAGAAGATGCCAGAATTCGATGGGAGGAACCTGGTTGCCCAAGAACGACCCCCTGCAATCCCATTAGGGGAAGCCGGTGACATACTGCGTCCAAGGATCGCGTTGTTGTGACTGCCAACTGCTTTTGCTTCTGCAAAGTGCTGTGGGTGCAGAACACTCTGCAGGAGCTGAAACCGCTTGTCAGTCTGGTCATTGTCTTCACAGAGCATAAATCAGCGGGAGCTGAGCAAGCCTTTGTCTCATCCACCCTTTGACAGGTTTCAGGAAGCCGGAGACAACGGGGCTACACAGTCTTTTGAAAGCCCGAGAGAGGCGTAACACAGCCGAAAGCCTGGCAATGCCCCATCCCTGCCTGTGACTGGACATACCCATTGCATTGTTCAATACGATTAGAATGCGGCGAAAGTCCAGAAACTACGCCGAGGAGCGATTGTGAGAATGTTGGCGGTGCGTGGGAATAATTCTCGGGTTGCTTGAGATCACCCATCACCCAGATCAGCACGGTGGCCCCTCGAGCCATCACGGCGACTGACTGCCGCGTCAGCCGATGATTGTGATTCAGACCAGAATCGCCGATGACGGGGCGAAACCGCAAGCCTACCGACGGGCTAGATGCTCCTAATACTCCCCCACAGAGACCTGAGGTTCCTTCCGAGCATCCTTAAGATGCCATGCCGTAACGAACCTGCATTGGTCTATTGTCGAGTCTATCAACGGATGCATCTCTGTCTGTTTAAAAGCTGGCTACATCTAATGCTTGTAACCAAACATCTAGTGCTTGTAATCCATCCGGCCGTCCCCAATAATGTCCCAGAACTCCTTCACAAGCTCCTCCTGCCCGCTGCTCGCGCCCCTGACCGCCAGGTACACGCGCGAGTCGACGGTAGTCTCCCACTCGCCGGGGTTGCCGCTCACCATGCGGCCGCCCGCCTCGGTGAGGATACACCACCCCGCAGCCACATCCCACGCGTAACAACCCCCCTCCCAGTACATATCCAACTGGCCGGCCGCACAGGCGCACAAATTCAGCGCCGCGCTGCCCAACGACCTCATCCCCCCAATCATACCGCCACCCCCCTCCTTCGCCGCCGCCAACTTCCGAAACGTCCTCGCCTTCACCTCAAAATTCTCCCCCTCCCTCTGACTCCCCCACTCAATCGACACCAACGCACTACTCAACCCGCCCAACGCCGGCGCCGGCGTCCCCGCCAACGGCAACCGGACCCTCTCCCCCTGCCCCTTCCCCACCTCCAACGACGCATTCCTCTGCATCCACGCACCCCCGCCCTTCACCCCAGTAAACAACAGATCCTGAAACGGGTTATACACCACCCCGACCACAGGCACGCGGCCGACCGCCACGCCCAGCGAGATGCACGCGTTGGGGAAGCCGTGCACAAAGTTGGTGGTGCCGTCGATGGGGTCGACGATGAAGGTGGGCGCGTCGGTGACGCGCGTCACGCCGGGCTGGTAGCTCTCTTCGCCGACGAAGGCGAAGGTGGGTTGGGCGGCGCGGAGGCGGGCCAGCACCATGCGCTCGACGGCTTGGTCGGTTTCGGTGACGATGTCGACGGCTGGGAGGAGGAGCTATTAGCCCGCGGTTGGTTGGGGGGTGGTTTGGGCTTTTATTGTTTTTTTTTGGGGTCTTTTTTTTGGGGGGGTCTTTTGGTAAGTTGCCTCGCCGGGAGGGGGAGGGTTGGAAGGGAAGGGGGCTTGGGAAAAGGGGGAGGGAGTATGGAAAGGGGGCGAACCGTTTAGCTTGGTGTCGGTTGAGATTTTGTTGGGGTTGGCGGCTAGGATCATGCGCCCCGCCTCAAAGGCGACCGCCACGAGCGTGTTGTGCACTGCTTGGAGGTCGATGTCTGCCATTTTTGCGTCTGTCGTCTGAAGGTGAAGGTGTGGTGCCTGAAGTTAAAGACGTTGTTCAGACGATGGAGTGCTGTTTGGGAAGCACTTAGGGTTCGGGATGGAGGGGTAGCGGGGTCGTTAAGGTGGGGTGGTTGGTGGAACGTGGGGTGGAGGGGAGCTCCCTATGGCTCAGGTATGTGTACACACCCACCCGCAAGAAGATCGGGCCGGGATCACCGGGCAACCATTGCCTAGTATTTCCACTAGTACATCATTAAACAGTGACGGACTCTTTATACTTCTCGGGTTCGGGGCGAAGTAACGTGTTCCTGAAGAACTGGTCAACCAAAAAAAAAAAGAAAAAAGGTCGAAAAGCTCAACCACACACTACCTAGGTAGGTACCTACTCAACCATTCATCAGTGGGGTGCATTAATCGGATTCACTTTCATGCACGTTCCGGCAAACTGAATCTATAAAGGCTGGGATTGAATCCAGGGCAACCATTCAATGTCTCTTTACTCCCTGTTCTGTTATATTGGCTTATTGACCTCCATCCGGGAGCACCGAAGGACTGGAAGCTTTATCGGCCGGGAAAGGCCGGGAAAGGCCGGGTATTGCGTTGGGCTTTAGGAACTCAACTGTATATGATGTAGTTGCCTGAAGCACACAATCTTTTCGGCCATGTCGAGCAAAGGAGTCCGTCCTGTCCCTCCTCGTCGGTGGGTATCGTTTTATTGTTTTGGCCGCGCCTGAGCTGGTGTGTAAGCGGCAGCAGCAGCGGCGGCGGCAACTTCTGCTTGATCCTCCCATGCTTGTAATAGTGCCTTCTTATTTTGTTGCTCTAGAACCATGAGCCCCATATGCCATGGTTGTGCTTTCTTCCGTTAGCGAACCCGAAACCCAGCCCGGGAGCGATAGGATATGTTTAACCCACATTCCTTTCTGTTCGGCCGTCGGTGTTCCTGTTCTTTGTATCCAGCGCCTCCCGCTTGATCCAGACAGAATCAACGTCAGTTGCAGATCCGTGCCCAGCAGGGAGATTGTCCGGACCTAAGCAACTTACGTTGGACTCCTCTAATTTTGTCAATGACTGCCGCAACGTCTTCAAAGCCCAGAAAGCGGGCAGAGTCTCCACATTCTATGAGCTGACCATCTGTCAGCCGCAAGTTTCGATATCGCAGAATGGCATCAGCTATTAGCGGTCTCCTGCCCCTAAGCGCTTTCATAATTGACTCGTTGTCAGTAATTTCAAGTCGCCCAGTTGACAGCAGGAGCTCGACCGCGTTGGCTGGTCCAGCTTTGGACAGCCAGCACGATTAACGGCTCTTAACCAACATCTCTAGCATTTTTTGGTCTCTCATGACGACCGCCCTAAAAAGATGCATTTGTTCTACTACGACGCATCCGGATTGCAAAAAAGCTTTGAGCATGGCTCGGTGTCCAAGTTGGATGACTCTCTGCAATGTGTTGTCGTGAACCAAGAAGCCAGCGTCGCGTTTGAGCTGGTCTAGAATTAGAGTGACCAATTCCGGGTTCCGCTTATCGACTGCAATATTAAGCGGGTCATTAGAATTGGTTTTGGCTTTGTCAGGGGCAGAGACATCTGCACCATGGTCGATGAGCAACCGAACAATATCCAAGTCATCGTTGGCCATTGCAACGTGGAGGGCTGTTCTTTCGCGCCTCGTGGATCGACCATTCACCTCGGCCCTTTGCCCCAGAAGCCATCGGCAGATTTGGTAATGGCATCTTTGATACCCGCATCCAATATGTTGTCATCAGAGGGGAATTTAGAAGGCAACCAAGCATCGGGCTTGGCCCTTTCGAGCAAGATCCAAGCGTTGGTACACCGCCTAAATCACATGAAGCATGGATCCAAGAGGTACGGAAGGCCCATCCTCAAATCCGAAGGACTTGCTACCTAACCAAGTCTCGACTTACCAGCCTTGTTTTTTCATCCTGGGTCACAACCCTGGACCTGTTGGAACAGCACCCCAAGGGCAGATAGATGCCTAAGAATCGACGGCAGTGTCAACTACACCACGAGGCTCCACATCCTCGAACAGTTCCAGGCCACAGACGTGCCCATCCTTCTAATGACGGTCCAGACCGGCGCTGTCGGGTGAGTACTAGTAACCAGCTCCCACCCCCGAACCAACACGCAGCCCAACTTAACACAGTCAACACGCACATATTAAACTTAACAGCCGCAAACTACGTGCACATCGTCGAGCCGCAGTGGAATCCCTCGGTCGAGGAGCAAGCGATCGCCGGGGCAGTCAGAATGGGCCAGACACGGGCCGTCACCATCATCAGATATGTGGTCAAGAACTCGGTTGAGGAAGTCAGTTGAACGGCCCGAGGCGGGGACAGGTCGAGGTGACGGGGTTGTTTGGGTTTGCTAACTCGTGAGGATAGAACATTGTCCAGATTCAAAAGAGGAAGCGAGGTTTGGCCAAGTTCACGCTGGATAGTGCGTCGCGTGATGAAGGGTCAGAGACGTTGGATGTAAGACACACACCTCCGCGTTGGCCGGGGAGATTAACGAGGGTTCAAACTGACTGTGGGCTCTGCTAGGATCTTCAGTTTGTGCTAGATATCGACTCGGTTCGTTGATGTGTTGTTGTCAGAGAATGTGGAGACTGGGTGGGTTATGGGTGGGTTTGTCCAAGTGGTAGGGATGAGCCTGGGAGGAGCAACAAAAATTCAAAAACATACAACACCAGGGATTCGCTGGTCGTCACCGACCCAACTACTGATCTGGCCCTTACTTGTTTGACTAAGGGAGAGCGGACGGGATCCCGTATTTTCAAGTAGGTATGGTCGTATGTGGTGATTCAGAGGCGAAAGTGTGGTATATTTGTGTGTCTCTTGGAGCCACAAGGGCCACCCTGAGCTAACCGTTTTTTGGGCCGTGTGATGGTGACCTTGGATCAGTGCAACAAAGACTGCAGGGCTTCTCTATTCTTATCTGTGCTTGTTCGTATTGATGGACAACGAAATAGGATATGTCAATTGGTAAGAAGGTTGTTGTCGGTATATAAATCATGAGACCGCAAGGATCTCCGGTTTGTGTTAACTATTAGATATTGATTTGGCACCATGATGGTTTGCATGTCCCTCTCATTATTTGTTGTTACTGGAGAATATGAAACCTCGGTGGGCTGTGGGGGTTCGTAGGGATGAGCCCAGCAGAGAGTCAGGGACCCTAATATTTTCTAGGACGATGGGACTTGCTCATATGGTTCGCCCGCCGAGCTGGCAACGTTTACAGCATGCTGACACCCCTCTCAGAAAAGTTGATCTTGATAACTAGGGGGTTCGGCCGGCTGGTTCTCCCAAAAATACCTTCCGCCGGTACTTCACGTTAACTATTTAACTAACTATACGTCTATTTAGCCTCGCAAATTCCAGTCTCTCTAAGCATGCCCGCTACGACCACAAAGCCGCCTATTGCTGGGACGCAGAAAAGGCCAGCTAAAAGGATAAACAAACCACCTCCCAGCAATGTAAGCACAACCGTGACTCGCAACAGGCTCGGACCTCCAAGCCCAACTTTGGCAAACATATTGAAACAAAGAGTCAAGCTGTCCACATGCCATCCGCCGGCGATGCCAACAACCACCCAACTTAGAATCCATCCGCGTTGGTCCGTTGTGCTCCTCCCGCTGTCAAACTTGGTGAGCGCCCCGATCACGACCAGGGACAGGCCGCTCAGCAGAAGCGGCAAGATAAAATCCCCCACTCTCCATTTCTGGGCAAGCACAAACCAAGGCTTAGGTGATGGGGAGGAATATAACTCAACCGGCGAGTAGGCGGGAACGATGATGTCGCGCTCTGGAGCTTCAGACAGGAAGTCCCCATGCGCTTTTGTGCAGGCAATGAGTGGCGGATGCACATCGCTACCGGAGACCCGCGCAAGCAAGGTCTGAACGGCGCCATCCGGCCCCGGTGGATCGCGTGGCTTCACATCATATACCAGCTCCTCGGCGTCGTCAGCCCCAGCCGCTGATTCCAGCCGGCCAACCACTCCATCAAACACGCCTCCACGTTTCCGGGCCTCTTCCATCTCCTCATTAGCAACCATGTAGACGTTGGGGTAGTCTGCCGTGGCGATTTGCGCCATCAGGTTCACGACACTCATGATAAGGTACGGCACCACGGTGAGGCCATATGCAGCGTACCCGAACCGCTCGATTTGGTCGCCGCGGGACCGGTAAAGCGTTAGGCCGGCGCTTCCAACCTGAAATATGGCGATGAGAGACTGGATCCAGTTGTACTGCGAGCTGATATCGGGCGGTGGGCCCACCACCCAGCGGTCATCCGGCCGGTTCGACTCGGCCCACGAGATCTTGGCCTCGGCATGCACATCAACCCAGTCGTAGCCGTAGGGGAGCAGAGCCTTGCCGTGGAACTTGTTCACGTTCAACGCCACGTGCCAGACGAACGAATAGGGCGCCGAACGCCGGCTGTCCTCCAGAACGGGGTCCTCCTCGTCCGCCCGTACACGAATATCGTCGATGAGCGGTACATGCTCGGGGTCGACGCCCGGCCGCTCCGTGCGGTCCTTGTCTGAGGCGTCTGGCGAGCACTTGGGAAATGTTTGTCCATTGGCCAGCCGTATCTCGCCCTCGGCGTTCCGCGCCGGCCTGATGCGGTCTCCCTCTTGTGGTCTCCAATAGTCGGTCCGCACCACCATGCGGAGGGCTCCCGCCGCGGCCGCGCGCTCCAGCGGGTTACGACTCTTTCGAAAGCGAGAATAGCGCCCGATCGAGAACAGTGCCCTGATGAGGCCTACCGACGGGATGAACAGGGCCAGGATGGCCGCCACGGCCGTGTCCGTTGTGCCCGACCCGGGGTACAGCTTCACGGTCGCGCAGTGTGCTAGGTAGTTGGAGGCGAAAAAAAGGAAAACCGACCACGGTGTGGCTGCTGAGCATTGAAGGTCCGCGTCGCCGGTGCTGTCGGCTAGGCTTCCAGTAACAGGAGCCATCGGGAACGCAGTTTGGAAAAGAAGGGGATGGGCCCTGTCCGCTTTCAAGTTCAAAACACTTCAAGAATTAGTGGCATCGATCAACGACATTGTTGGCTCAGAAGGTAATGGTAAGCGCAGGGAGTCGAGGACCGGAGCCAAAAAGTCATCAACTTGTCTTGTATAAATGCACGTCAAAACGGAGATCAAATGCCCAGCCCCTCGCGCGCCTGGCCCCCAATGTTACCTTACCTGCTCAGGGGTTGGGCTGTCTGTGCCACCCCGCCGCCGCAGCTGGGCACAGAGGGGCACTTCAATTGGTCATGACCGGATGCGCGCTCGATATGTTCTGCTTACCTGACGGGGGGAGCCAATAGGTTCACGGGTACCCGTGGATTTAAAGGCCCACGGGTCCCGTGGTGATGACTAAGCCCGCCCTCTGCGTTTCCTTTTCGGGCGCAACGCATCGCGTCTCTCCACAATAGTTAGTGTCGGAACCTGTAGTGACCGCTGGAAGAAGCTCTTAAGAATCGACAGAATGGATTGAGTAGGTCTGTTAGAAAAGATGGAAAAAGTGCTTGATTGACGACGCTGATGATGGCCAAGGAAGATTGTTCAGGAGGTAAAACGCAGGGGTTGTGGTGCGGGCACCAATCAACCACCAAGGTCCATTGAACGCAGCTATCATGGCGGCTTCGTCCTGACAGTTAACTCCCAACACGATATGCTTCGTGCAAGTCATGATGAGTCTACCTTTGGCTGAAGTAGTCACGTCATCTCCTGACGATTGTCTTCCCCCGGAACTCGATTACGAATCGAGGGATGCCCTGTTCGTGTCTATCAACTCATGGGCTGCGACCAAGGGCTACGCATTCACTACTGGGAGGTCAACCAAGGAGAAGAGTGGCAGACAGACGATTACATATACATGTGATCGATACTGAGGAACAGCAAGCTTTATATTTGTAACGGGCTGATAGGATCTTTCCATTTTTCTTGTCCTTCGTCCTCAGCTTATAACCTAGAGGTAGCGCCAATTGCAACAACGGATGGATGGAATTTATTTCGCCCGGAGGCACTGGGCCTATAGGGCCTTAGCACGCTAACTACATCCGGATCAAATCGGTTTGCCTTTAACTCGTACAAGCCCCCTACTTCTTCCCTCTTTCTCGCTGCACCATTTACCTCTTGCCTAATTGCAACAACATTGCTGCAGTCTCTTACAGTCCGCAACGTTTGCGCCCGAAAAGGAAACGCAGAGGGCGGGCTTAGTCATCACCACGGGACCCGTGAGCCTTTAAATCCACGGGTACCCGTGAACCTATTGGCTCCCCCTGACGGGGACGGGATGACTCATCACTACCCAAGGCAGAATGGAGGCGTCGTAAGTTAACTCAAACATTTGTTGACTGTGTATCCGCCGATATAGCGCCGTGATGCGCGGCGGCAAAGTGCCCGGTTGAGCTGCGTAACTCTGTCGTTAGTATAGCGCAACATCAAGGCGATAACCGCTCGCTCCGTATGTACATACCTTACCTACCTAGGGAATTTGGGTGTGTTTTGGAGCCACAAGGGCCGTATCTTGGGCCCTTACATTAGCAAAACGGCTACAACGAATAGGAGATGTTTATTCATAAGCAGGCTGCTTCCGGTATATAAATCAAGGCGCCGGGCAAGTGGGTGCCCTGCCCCTTTCCTGGCCCGAGGGTTACGGTGAACTGCGAGGTGGTATGCGTCGCCCTAAAGATGCACATCAGAGCGGCACAGCAACCCCCAATGCCCAGTCAAACCGAAGACTTCATATTAGCAGCATAGCAGGGGCGTCAAACGTCTTCAGCCTCGGACTTGTCGGTGATAGGTCTAATGCCCAATGTTAGGTATATATATATACCTACGTACTACCAACATTGCCGATAAGTATGCGAGGAATTGCATTTGTTTTCGTCTGTTTGACCCAAGATTCTTTTCAATGACGATACATGTAGATGAACTTGACACTCAGTCGCCATGTTGCATTCAAGGCTCTTCCTCCTCCACACCCTCCTCCTTCCTTTTCCTTCTCCCACTTTGGCATACACCTGGCCAAATCCACAAACCGACATCTTAGAGGCTATATACTACCAACAGATTGGCTACGATGGACGTAGATTCAGCGCGTTCGTTAGAACATGCGAGACTGGGAATAACCTTGGAGCAGGACGAACCAACAGCGCAGAATGGATACGGACGGCTTATCACGATATGGCGACGGCGGACGTCGAGGCAGGTATCGGAGGGATGGATGCCAGCATCGGCTTTGAGAGGTTCCGCTCAGAGAACGTTGGTTATCACGCTTTTACCGACAGTCTTTTATTCTTCGCCGACTTCATGAGCGCGTATTCATCCATGGCCGACCTGATCGCCCTCGGCGCTGTCATGTCCGTTACCGCGTGCACCATGTCACCAAACCGGAAACCGCTCTTTTTACCATTCAGGGGGGGGAGAATCGATGCTACGGAGCCCGGGCCCTTTGGTATCCCGGAACCACACCATGATCTCGCAAGCCACACGAATAGCTTTAAGAAGCAAGGCTTCAATGCCACCGAGATGATTGGTCTTGTGGCTTGCGGCCATAGTCTAGGCGGTGTCAATGGACGTGACTTCCCAACGATTGTTCCGGTCAAGAATGACTCGGTAGGTGTCGACTCCGGCAACCACAAGGTAACGGGACGAGGGGCTTCTCTAATAGATGGGTAGACCAATGTCGACAGCAAACAGAAATTTGACACCAGCCAGTCGGTGCTCGACAACAACATGTGTGTTTCAAGTAAACCGTGTGTTGTTCAAGACCGCGTGCTGACCCCTGAGTGAACGCAGAGCAATTGAGTTCCTCAAAAACGGTACCCAAAATGCACTGGCATTCGGGCCCAACAAAACCACGAGGTCTGATCACCGTATCTTCAGCTCGGATGGGGGCGCTTTGATTAAAAAGCTCGCCTCATCCCAGGATTACTTTTTGGAAACTTGCACTGAGCTGTTTACCCGCATGATAGACACTGTACCAAAAGGGGTTCAGTTGTCCGAAGTTATCACGCCTATCCCCGTGAAGCCAGACAATCTCTTTATCACGATAAATGACAACGGTGGCATGACCATCAAGGGGGATATAAGGGGTATACATCCTCACCCACTCCTAGGCCACATCACAATCAGCTAATCTGGTCCCAGATACGCACCGATGACAACTCTCCCACCGACTCCCGCTTGGTCCTCGTACATTTTAAACCAAGAGCCTCCGGGGCACCGGCCATTCCACCGGTAGCAGCCGTCAGGCTAGCCAAAACCACCACAGCCTGGCACCCCCATGCGCCCTCCTTCGAATGGTGGAATTTCACGACAACCGTCCCCGTCAGCCAGGGTCTCGCCTCCTTCACCGTCGAGGTCATCGACGGCAGTCACTCCTCAATACACGACAATGGCGGAAACGGCTTCCCATTACAAACAGACCTCATACCCCAAACTCAGCTGTCCTGTAGCGCCGTGTACATGGGAAGAGCCTACATGCTCAATCTGACCGTGGCGGTGAGTCCCTGAAAGCTTTCCAGCACAACAGAAACGACCCTAAATTTCCACATTTACTGACTTCTCCACGCGTGCACTCCGTACAGGTCCGAGACGAGCTCAACTTCCAAGATATTAAACTCACCGTCCCGATCCCCATGCGGCAAGCCGAGTCCATGGTGCCCCGGTTTGAGTCGCATGTTCTCAACATGGAGAAGACGGGGATCATTCCAGCCACTGGATACTCGCTGTATACGGGCTAGTTTGGATGTTAGGCCTCAGCATATGTATGTGGTCATCATGTCGTACGGGCTGAGTGGGAGGGGAGGAGAGAAGGATGTGGAGGTTCCGTTTGTGTTGTGGAAGGGGCTAGGGACGTGCCCTTATAGTTGAGCCATGGGATGGGTATCTCGACGGTAATTTCGGTGGGTGGCCTTCAAGTGATGACGTGATATTGAACGGAAGGAATATTAAGGGTGATGATTATGGGACTTCTTTAATTCTTGTGGCCCTTTCCCTCTTTCCCTTGGCGGTTCTCCTCAGTTCAATGTTGTTGTTGAGCGGTACTCGTTTGAATTGGGGTAGGTGAAATGTATCAGCGAGGCCAGCTGCAGTCATGGTCATGTCTGAATCTCCTACATCAGAATACAACAACAACAATCATCATCTGTCTCCCTCCCGCGACGGAGATGCTCCATTCCTCGTTCACGACGATTCTCCCACGTGTATTGCCGGGTTTCCCGTTCTTCTTCTTCCCGACGAGGAGAAGGCTCCCGGCCGTCATATCCCGTGTCCTCCCACGCCCCGCGCCCAATATCCTCCTCCGCTGAATCCTTCGACGGTTCCACGGGTACATGGATATGGTTGACACTAGTGCCGTCTGCGTAGGAGTAATGCGAGTAGCGTGTGGTTCATTCCGGCTCGCCCACCACCCTGTACGGCACCATATAATTGTAGGTTTCCTGGCCGCTGGGTTGAACATCGAGACCGGGGAGCGAGGAGAGCTCCTCGCCGCTTTCAGGAATGCTGAATCGGCTGGTGATTTTGACTTTGCCGTCTTCAACTTTTATGCCGGGCGTAGCTGTGTGCGCGAGGCGGCTGTCGTACAGGTTGATTGTGACTGGGGTCCTGCGGATTTTGATCTCCCCGAGGGCATGTTCGTCAGAGGCTCCCGCGTGATGAGTCATGTTTGGCCAATGGAGTCAAAGGAGTGCGTGTTATATCAAAAACTGGTCGCGATGGAATGGTTAGTTCTGGCCGGGAAGTGGGAGAAAAAAATCTGCAGTTCCCAGGAAGGAATAAAAGGATAAAGCAGCTTCGCTGTTGCAGGTTTGCGTTCCACAGCAGGCCTTGCCGAGATGATTGAGAACGCTCGGGCGTACGAGCGGCACTGCGTGGGTTCATGATAATCAAGTTCTAACCCTCAGCTCGAGTTTAGTATTAACAGGATGATTGCCAAAAGGTTGTGTTTACTAGTGACAGAGCTTACCCATTAGGTATTTACTTGTGGGAATTCGAAACTAGGTGGAAACTGGAAGAAAGCAAATAATTAATCCGGATGGAATGTCAATCGAGATCCAGGGACAGTAGTTCACGAAGACCGCCGTTCAGAATCTTTTTACTGTTTCCCTAGGTAATGACCACCTCAAAGCTCTGTTTTCCTGAGACTGGTGCCCATCTCCTTGTGCGGCCCTCTACCACAAATCTTCACAACTCAATTCCAGCTCGGTGGCACTGAGAGTGCTACAGGCGAGTCGAGGGTCGGAATCAGATTCAAACAGAACTCTCATTCCTTCGTGTTATTCTGTCCATCCACTTTCATCAACATTGACCACACCCGCCAACATCCGTGGCATTGAACCGACCCCGAAAAGTCCACCAACAACTCAATCTACTTGATTCACAAGGAACAACAACCTGATAAGTTACCCACAACATGGACAGCCTCCAGCGGAGCGTCAAACAAACGGACGGAATGCTCCGCGCCGTTATCCAGCAATTGAACAAGCAGATTGAGACCATGGGCAACTCAACAGGCCATACAAATCTCGCCGGCGTTGCGACGAGCCTTGAGGTTTCACTCGCCCAAGTCCAGCGCGTCCACCGACTTCTTGAGTATGACCTCGGCAAACTCGCAGCCATTATCGAAGAGCTCCCCACTAAGAACTCTATCGTTGAAGGGCCTGAAGTTAAGAGATCCGTCAATGAGAACACGGAAGGAGACAAGGCGCTGGGTCGGATGGAGGCAAAGCTCGACTCGCTCACCACAAAGTTTGACCAGATCGCCGGGTTGGAGCCCTTGGTCCAGCGGAGTGAAGTTAAGATTGATGATACCCTCCGTATCTGCGAGACACTCGACACGTCCCAAAACCTGAACTTGGGACGGCTTACTGCCATTCAACACTCACTGTCCAAGATGAAAAAGAGTGCCACCGTCATCGGCGTTGATCCAGCCGCAGCACATGCGCCAGCTCTCTCAAGCACCAACCAGCCAGACCGCAAGAAGAGGAAGATGGAAGAAAGTGATATCTTTGACTCTACGGCGCTTTCAGCCCCCGTGCGTCACAAGAACAAGTGGAAAGCTCTGACCGCTGACCAGCGGAACAAGCTGCGAGAACTTACCAACCGGCGCTCGCTCACAGAAGGAATCCTCGATCGGCTTGTTCCATGCCCAGACGGGGGCCTCTGGAATACGGACCACATTCTTTTCCGCTTCCGGTCTCTGTGCCAGAATCAAGGCCTCTCTGTGAAGGCTGCCAGGCTCAAGGAATACATGGACCTGAAGCTGTCTCGGTCCTGGTTTTGTGCCCGGAATGTAGCCATTGAGGGTGCCCCTTCCGTATCTTTGTCCGGCGAATGCAAGTATTGCATATCGCGATGTGTTCTGATCAAACCAGTGGAACCGGATAGCGAGAACGAAGACAATCGTTATTACGTTCGGGTGGTGAGTCACTAAACCAGGAATAGTCACCAGCAAACCCGGCTACGGCTATACATTGGGGATCGCGAGCGTCGGTAGTGGTACCTAACCGGCTGCTCCAGGGGATCATGGATGGAACGAAAAGGTTGAGAGGGTTGGAAGACGCGACGGTTGAGTTCCATCCAATATAGGTACCTCGATAGCTCGGTAAACTCTCCACAGTTCAACCCTCGCTCCAGGTAATAATGTCTGCCTCATCTAGTGTATGTGCGTTTCCAAGGTTTATTCTCAGGATTAGGGATGCTCGGCTCGCCTTCCGGGACAATCTTAACCTGTGGAACAACGAGATGCCAAATGTGCGCTGGGACAATTCTTCGGTGTTGCCCTGTGTTCATGCCCTTCATACTACATGCTCTTTCCCTGATATTTCAGCCAATGTTCAGAACTCGAGATGGTGTGTTTGCAGTCAAAGAACAATCCATACTTGCACTGCCCTGTTCCGATGCGATCGAACCGCTTATGTCTGGTGAGCCCCAACCCAAAAAAACGGCGATAACACCAATATTCCACACCAGCACATGATACCCTAGGCAAGAATGGTACTTCGTTCTAGACACGTATCCCCTCCACCTTTACGGAAGAGCGTGTTGAAAGACAAGGCTAGGCCATGTCCCGGTTTTATCCGACCCGAGTTCTCATCCCGGCGGCCATTACAGACAATAACCTTTGGTTACATCCAACCCGTCCCAGCATCGCAATTAACCATAGGGCCACGAAGAAGGGCCATACAAACCAATCCCCAGTGTGGGGAAGCAATCAATATCAGCCTGCCAATATCTCACATTGGCCACCCGATCGATCTGGACCCCGGCGGCAGCAAAGAGATCTTGCCACGGAGAATTATTACGATCTGTCATCGGGAAGCACCCGGGAACCGATGGGTGAGGGGGGGGGGGGCAAGCATGGTCGAGTTCGGAAAAGGTGGGTGTGCAATGGTCACGACAGTGAGACCCGAGAACCTGGAGATCGACAATGGGAACCAGGACCAGAAGGCGTGCATAATGTACTTGAAGAATTGCGTGCGAGACTGAAAATAGATAAATACTGCTGCGGTTTTGACTACCACCCTTCACCCTTCTCCTCCAAGGTCCGACAACCTCCACACCCCACCATCATCAGCAACAGTTTTCGAAACAAGGTCAGGGGCAAAGCGCAAAAACTGAAAGAAAAGAGAAGAAGACGCACCGCAATCAGCGCCGCCTCGCGGGTCGGCGAGATGTTGCACTGGGTGTTCATGTTCATGATGGCCGACGTGCCGCCGCAGGGGGACCACGATACGACGTCCGGGTCGGCGCTGAGGGTGAAGGGCCCCTCGCGCTCGCCCGCCAGCGCCACCGAGTAGTACGACTGGCCCTGGATGCCCGTGAAGTCGAACGTGTTGGTGCACAGGCCGCGCGAGCCCTTGGGGATCTGCGCGAAGCCAGACATGTCCGTGGCGAGGGTGGAGAAACTGGGGGGTGGCGGGTGTTAGTTTGTGTATGTGTGTGGTTTGAGGGGGCGGTTGGTGTGAGGAGGAGGAGGATGGAGAGGGAGGATCCTTACGAGAAGCCCTCGTCGAACTCGAGGTTCAGCGTGAGCTTGCAGTTCTTGCGCCAGTCGGCGGCCTTGGTGCCCGGGCCGGTCTGGATGATGTACTCGGAGAAGGTGACTTCGAGGAGCGTCTTGGAGGCATCGATCTGGACATCGGCGGTGCCCGCAGGGCAGCCGGAGCCGAGGAGAGAGACACCGACGACGCGGACCTTGTTGAGAACGTTCTCGTTGGGGACGGTCAGGCCAGGGGCGGCCGCGGCCAGGGGAAGGAGAGAGAGGAGCGAAAGGAACTTCATGGTGAAGATGGTAATGGGTTGAGCTGGGGAGGCTGTTTGAAGCTTTGAGGGTGATGCTGAAGCCGGAAGATGATGGTGAGAAGATGTGAGCTTTGGTCCGGGGGAAATGGGCAGTCTTTATAGACTTGTCCCCATCGTCGTCGTCGTCGCCGTCTTGGCGAAGAGAAGGCTCCGCGGAGGAGTAGTCTGGCTCAAGGCCGACTTCGCTGGATGCTCAGAGGCCACGGACTCGACCTGAGATGGGCTGAGTTGGGCAGTACGGGATGTCAACACCGTGTGTCAAGGGCCTGTGAGCTAGTTTCGATATATCACCAATTTCAGCAGGTGCCTATTTTTATCCCCTGAACCGAGCCCTTGTACCTGGGTTCCTGGGTCTGGCCCAGATGCATAATAACAACTTTGTTTATTATGGCCGAGTGTTTGGCTGAATCCGGGGTTAAGCGACCAAACTCATTAAGTACAATGCACGTTCTCCATATCGTGTTAAGGTACGTCCGTCTTACACGCATGACAGCGGAATCCTTTTCCGTCCATGGATAAACAGCACTCGAGCCGGCCAGCTCCCAACGAACCGTAACACACAGCCGCCCAGGCTGTCAAGGCCCCCTTTTAATATCGTATGTAATTACCACGCTGGCGGAGCAGCCCACGGCACCAAAGAGAAGCATATTACCGCTACTATAACGGCGTCGCCATGCACATGCCGGCCAAAGCATGTTGCTAAACTTAACAACAAGCCCGCTTCTTTATTCTAACCACCACGACTCTGTCTCGACATCTGAATGCAGGACCTTCGCTGGCGATTTATTTTACGCTGTCATGCTGACCGAAACACGAGGGGACCAGTGTCTTGGGTGACCAGTGCGCACTCTTTCATATCACCCTCGCCTCCTTATTTGCCGGGACCGGCTACAACGGAAGCGAGCAATTAGAGAGCGGTACCATAGAACCAACACCGGTCCCGCTTGCCAGGAGGCGGGCTGGGCTCTTTCACGATGCGAGGGTTTGAAAAACAACGGAGAATGTTAGGCCGGAGTAGATTGGAAGCCCCTGAAATTAACATTAACTAACGCGAACAACATCCGCCCCAACTAGCGATCAGGGACCGAGGCAGATTCCCTTCGCCTAGCATCTCCTACTGGTCAAACTCGCCAGCGTAGAGGATATCGCCAGGCGCACCGTTGACGGTGTCCCACAGGGACCGCGCCGCATGGTCGAGGCTCCTCTTCGCGACGGTGCCGTTCAGCTCCCTCTCGCCGTCTTCACGGGCAAGCTTGACTGTACCATAGTTAGTTTTCGAGAGCTCAATCAACCATGATAAAACGAAACATGTGCAGCACTGATTTTCCGATGCAAACACCAATCCGGGATTCTCACGATAAAAACAAACAAACCGGGGAGTACTAACCATGCAAGTACACCGCAGTGCGCTTCCCGCTGAACATGGCGTGCGGCACGTTGGTTGTGTTATCCGAGTTGGCATCGCCAATGGCGTACACACCAGGGATGTTGGTGATCAGGCCAGCGGTCTGGTCAGCCGCCAGACGGCCCACCGTAGAGGTGGACACCCAGCTCCTCGCCAACCTTGGACATCTGCTCGGACGGGAAGGCGGCGAGAAAGGCGGCCCGCAACAGGGACTCGCCCTCCTCAAAATCGACACGGAACAAATCATGTTCCGGGACGGTGGGCAGGCTGGGGTCGGCGTCGTGGTTCTCCCCGCTCTGCAGACGGGTGATGGCGGTGATGGTACGGTTGTCGACGGGGACCTTGTGCAGCTCGAGGTAGGTCTCCCACTTGTCGAACTTGGCGTCGGTGGCGGCGCGGAAGGCCGGGGTGTTGGTGCCGTTGACGAGGGCGACGACGTCGGAGTTGAGCGTCACCATCTCGCGCACCGCCCCCGGCACGTTGTCCAGGCTGCCCAGCAGGCCCAGGGACTGGTCGGCGTGCTCGTGCCCGTCGCACCACGGGCACCAAAAGATGCCCTGGCCCCAGTTCTCGCGCACCCCGGGGGTCTCGGGCAAGATGTCGCGCAGGCCCGTGGCTAGCACGATCTTTCGCGCCGTGAGGGTGACCTCGCCGGCGCTGCGAGGGCCGTTGGTGGTGACGATGAAGTGCGTGTTTTGGTCGTCGCCGGGGGTGATCTTGGTCACGGTGCCGTTGGTCATGGTTACCGTGGGGTAGTGAGAGAGTTGTTGGCGAGCGGCCCAGCGGAAGTAGGCCGGTGTGACGCCTGGGTGGTGATGTCAGTCGAACCATAATACTTGGATGGCATTAGAGGGAGGAAAAAGAGCGATCGTCGTTACCATCAAACCCGATCACATCGTGCATGTGCCTCGTCACCCCATTGCGAGTACTCGCCCCGAGTCAATGAGCAAGACCTTCCTACGGACACGTGCCAGGCCGCTCAGAGCACTGAGGCCGGCCGGACCGCCACCTACGACAATGGCATCGTAGTCGTAGACGGGCGCGGGTTCAGTGCGGGGCACGGCAGCGCCATTGGCAACGGTAGCAAGCGCGGTGAGCGCAAACGAAGAGAACAGACGCATGGTGAAAGTAAGACACTGAAGGCGAACCAAAGGGCGGGCTTGATACTACTTGTGCAGTGTAGTCTGGGAAGTTCAAGGATGGAAGTCGTTCAACCGCTGGCTTCTTCTCCGCTCTCCGCACGACGGGGGCATGGGCCGCCATTATATGTCCTCACCGGAGCACATAGACGTCGTGCAACCCCCGCGCAGAAGTCTGTGACGATGAGCTGTCAAAAGGTCACTATCAAAATCTTCCTGCAGCCGATCCCACCGGTCCGGAGATCGACGGAAATCTTTGCCCAACCAGGTGCATCGACGATCGCGACAGCCACGGCACGGCCCAATCCCGCTTCACGCGGGGCAGCTCTCGATTTGTCTTCGGCAGGTAACCGGGTACTGGGATTGGCTCCTTGCTCGTCGACTTCCAGGTCGTCTAAGACGTGTCACCCCCCCTTGCAGGTCGTGCAGGTCGCGCGCATCTGTCACCGCGCATCTTTTCAGCTCAGACGAATCAAGCCATGGCAGGTTTTCGAGTAATGATGACGACACCCCTGGTCGGGGCCGCCGGGATCGTGGTGATCAGCGCTCGTCTCGGTGGGATTGTCTCACTTCAGCAGCTCAGCATGCTGAAGCGAGAGGACAATCACGACCAAAAGAGCCACAAGCAGGTGGATGTGCCGAAGCGATGACAAAATTTGCGAGGAGGTTGGGGTTGTATGTTGAATTACAGCGATGTTGCGGAAGTGCGAAGTATCCATCAACCGGCACCCTGTGGTTCCCAAGTTGTCTGGGCACGGTTAGTTAGTGAGTATTCAAATAACAGCGAAACCCTTCCAAACTCACCGTATCATACAAGAAGGGATGAAAAAGAGGGAGTGGTGGTTACAGATGGTTGACTGTCTGTTGAGATCTCATGCTCTCGTGTTCATGGCTCGTACCAGAATGGGTTGTCTCGCGTAATCACTCGTCCAGCAGTAACCACGGTTGTCGGGCACTGCTGAGACTCTTTCAAGGCTCCTCAGTCTCCTTTGGTGGCCGCTCCGTTTTCCCCTGCTGGCCATCATCTGACATTAGGAAGATCATCTCTTTTATCGCTTGGAGCACTTCTTCTGTAGGTTCAGGTAGGACGAAGCAATAGGAGATGATGACCGGGTTGCTTGGGAAATATTTGGACGGGTAGTCGAACCGATCGAGAAACGCTGCCGGGAAGCGAGCCGTGTACAAGACACGTGGGCCGTCCCAAGGATCTTTAAAAACATGAGTCTTCGGACTCTTCATTAGTATAAGGTCCAGAATTGACTGGATCAATATATGGGGGGGGGGGTTCAATTACTTTGAAGTATGTCGCGGTGCTGCGAGGCCGTCGTTGTGCTTGACCAAGAGCGATCAGGACGGCCACGATGTATGGATCTTCTATCTTGTTTGTGGGTTGGTAACGGGGCTGGCACTTTAGTCGACGACGGAAGATTGAACCATCCCATCGCGGGTCAAGACCGTCGAGGTCCGGGCGAGATTGCCATAAGCAACGGCTAGCATTGGTATTTCGTATGGTCGTGTACGGCCGTTTGATTGAAGTGGAAGGTCAGTTCCGGGCTAACAAGTTAAAAAGAAGATTAGCAAGATTCAACAAAGTCGCCGGGGGCACCTGCCTGCAGAGGCCGACATTATAGGCCCCGAAAGAGATATAAAGCCAGATCGCGGTTGCCCATCATCTTATTTTTCTTGGTCTCCGTTGTCCGAGACTTCGGTTCTATTTTCCGGAGAAGGAATCGACAGCCAAGAAGCTGCAGGTGTTGTAACGTCCATCGTGAGGGGCCAACAAATAAACGATCCCGGTTATTTTGCCGCAAGACGTCGTTCAACGATGATGGCTCTGGCTGGGGAAAGCGAAGGCAGGCTGGGGTACCGCGAGCGGCGTTGGGAGATCCCATCACGAGGCGGCGAGGCGCGAGGCGGCGACGGCTCCAGGGTCCAATCTTTGGATCATCTGCTTTCCCCGTCGCGATTGCAGTTGGGACATTCTATATACGCTTCGGATTCAGATCGCAATCCGTGAACAGATACCTATCTGCCGTCTATAAAAGTTTACTACGCATGTCCCGGATCGTCAGCCGCCGACCACCTTCGTCTCGGCGACTCACTGCGAAGGAAAGAGGAAAACGACTACTCGAATGACGAATTGTCCCTTTTCAGTTCTCGCTAAGGAGTCTAGCGAAGGCTGGGGTGTTTTGTTATCCACAACCACGAGCCAAGCCTGCATCCGTCTGCGCACCCTGTCCACCGACAGCTCTCTGGCGGCACATCACAATTACCAGCACTCTCAGACGCTGGCCTTGCGCCAAAGGAGATCCAGACAGTCGTCCGGCAAAGCGGTTCTTTAGCAACACGTCAAGACATCTACAACCGTATCGCCGATGTCCGCCGGGACTCTCGTCAAGGCCAGAGCCTAATCCATGCGCTTGCAAACTAGCTCGAGGAAGAGGGCTTTTGGAGCCGTGTACAATACGGGCCAGATAGACATGTAACGGCAGTTCTCTTTGCGGATCTCGGCTCTCTTGCCTACCTTCGAGCGTACCCTGAAGTCCTCCTTCTCGACTGTACGTCATAAGACGAACAAGTACGGTATGCCACTTCTTGACATGATCGGCGTGGATGCAACTGGGCGCTCCTTTTGTATTGCCTTTGCATTTTAAGCGGCGAGACTGAAGAAGACTATACATGGGCCCTTGAGCGGTTGAAGACCTTATACGAGCAGTGTGGTGGAGTCTTTCCATCTGTCATTTTGACAGACCGGTGCAAGGCAGTCATCAACGCAGCTTCAACTATCTTTCCGTCAACAACATCTCTCTGTACCTGGCATGCAAATAAGGCGGTCCTTGCGCGGTGCCAACCAGCATTTCCAGAAGCTGAGGAGTGGAAGGAGTTCTACGCTTTTTGGTTCTCTATTCTTGACTCGCCAACTCAAGGGATATACGAGGAGCGTCTAAAGGAGTTCGAAAACAAGTACGGTTCAACGAACCTTGCACAGGTTGGCTATCTTAAGGAGACGTGGCTGCTACCATATAAAGAGAAGCTTGTCTCTGCGTGGGTAGACCTGTAAGCTCATTTCGGAAATACAGCTACCTCTCGTGTTGAAGGGATCCACGCGCTTCTTAAGTCGTACCTCAAGAGGTTAACATTTGACCTCTTTGAAGCGTGGAAGGCAATTTGGCTTGCGTTGATCAACCAGCTCTCTGAATTACGGTCCAACCAAGCCAAACAACAGATCCGTATACCCCTTGAGCTCGACAAGGCTCTATATAAGGCGGTCCAAGGCTGGGTCTCGCATGAAGCACTACGGAAAGTTGAGGAGCAACGGCAATTGCAGTGGAAAAACCCTTCTCCGTCACCTACTTGCACAGGTACTTTTACACGTGTCTACGGACTTCCATGTGTACATGTCCTCACTGGACGTCAGGAGCCTCTTCTTCTTGAAGACTTCCATTCGCACTGGCACTTAATACGCGACGGGGCTCCACTTCAACTCCTCGGGCCCCGCCGTATCGAGCCAAGGGCAACGAAAAGCAGTCTCCCAGCCTCAAGTACGAAACGTGAGCCTAGTGAGTTTGAGGTGGTCGAGGTAACGCAGGGGAAACGGGCTAAGCGGCAAAGTCAATGTACAGCTTGCGGGGAGGTTGGCCATATAAGAACCCCTCGCGCGTGTGCAAAGCGGTATTCAGATGTTGTACAGATAGATTGAATTAAGTGCTTTGGTGTTGACTTTGGTGTTGACTCTGGCGAGTAGCAATGCCGTGTTAGATGCACTTCGTGGATTATATAGTTAACTATGTAACTAGTTGGTTAGTGGGAGCCGAATCCACTGTGTAGCAAATGTTAGGGCCGTCTTGGCGCCCACACCAGGTTGGAAAAGAGAAAACGAACAGAAAAATAGAAATGGCTAGTCATATCAATCACGCCACCGCATGCGCGGGCTTCTTAAATATATTCTCTGATGGATCTAACTATCTAACTTAGTATCCAATTCCACTAACTACGCGATTGGTGACGCAGATAAAACGCGTTGAGGCATCGATACATTTGTCTTCTTTTCTGAACCTTCTCGAACTTGTATAAATTAGTTGAATTGTTGGCAAAAAACATGTTCGTTCTCTCCTTTCTTGTCGCACACTGCAGTTTCGGAGCGATGACTCAATCCGCGAAAAAATACCTAGGTAGGTGACGAGTTACGGTATCACACCCCAGCCATCGGGGCACTGATCTATTCAGATCCCTACCTACCTGACTTACTTATTTGCCTCAGGTCATCTGTCGGATTCCCTGGTGAATTGATAGCTGATGAATATTATTCCAAGCCGATTCGGAAAAGCCACATTTCCTCGCTAGGCAGTGCAATAACGTCACTGCCCCTTGGACCATCATCCTGTCCGGAGGACAATATTGCGCTCAAACTTTTGGAAATTACTATGGGAAAGTGATAAGTTAATTGCGGGTCTTAACCTGCCTTATCGTCCATCGGGGATTGGTCAAAGTTTTGGGACCTGGGTCCGTGCCTCATCACCTTGCGCGTTCAATTGATTTCTCGCGAACGAAGTGTTTGTCGATTGTCGCGAAACACTTTTACTTCCGCTATGGGCGGGGTTGACAGTTATCATGGACAACAGCGCCGCACCGGTGGCGCGCAAGATGTGTCGTGGATGCCGCACCGAAAAAGACATCGGCCAGTTTCATGACCTTCGCGGTAATGGGAAGGTTGTTATACAGTGTTTAGAATGCCGGAACAAACGGAAGCTTCAAGTAAACCCTGTCCTGACTTCGTTTCTTTGCCTTACCTAAACCGTCGCAGCATACCATAGTTATCCCGAGCCAGCATTGCATCATTGCAGGTAATCGGCCGGGAAAGCTCTGCGCCTGCTCCAATACCTGCACTACGACCTCTCGTGCCCGCACCTCGCCAGAACCTCACGCATGGCGTCCTTGCTAGCATGTTTCCCAAAGGCGGCCGAGTTGCAACGGATACTCCAGATATGGCGACTGCTCGGGCCAGCGCCTGACGAAGAGGGTTTGGAAGGCGACGCGGATGCTTTGCAGCACACACCACCACAGCTTCCCCGCCGCGGACGCCCTCCCAAGCGCCGTTCCCCTCCGTCTGCGTCTTTGCGCCCGGTCTCGCGGACGCCGTTATGGACGCCCTCGAACTAGAACGCAATCCTGTCGGTCGCCCACGCAACCAAACCCCCCCCTGAAGAGAATCCTCCACGTAAATTCGACGAACCCGGCCCCCGATTCACAGGCGACGACCAGGAGACGCCACTGTTAGCCGAAGACATGGCGACGAAAAGAGAGTTCGACGAAGCGCTTGCCGCAGAGAAGATGCAGCGATGCCTGCGTTGCAAGGAGCGTTGGTTCGACATCAAACTCATGGCGGACGGCGTTTGCAACCGCGGTTGTTCCCATCCTCCGAGTGCGGCAGGACTTCATGGTCGGCGCCAACTCATGTTCAAGAGAGCAGTTCCCGCTGTTGGTCAGCTATGCGATCACTGTCCACAAGTCACAGGGCATCACCCTGGACAAAGTCGTCTGCGATATCTCTGCGCCAGAGTTTGCTTCTGGCCTCTCCTACGTGGCCGTTTCCCGAGTAAAGACACTTGGCGGGCTGATGTTTGAGCGGCCCTTCGACCGCAGCAGGGTCTATCGCGAGACACCATCACGAGCCATGGGGTTGAAGTTATTGGATCACGCTACTAGGCGACTGCAGGCGTTAGATGCTGTGGCGGGGGTGGATCCTTCAGAGGAGTTAAGTGGGTTTATAAGTAGCGACGAGGAGAGTGTAGAGGCATGAGTACTTAGAATATAATAGAAATGATTGGTATAAGTGTGACGAGAAGGTCAAGTGTCTGGAGTTGTTGGCCGACGGACAGATATTGGCGCTTCGCCTTTCCCGTATTCAACCCTAACCCGGATTGTCCTCCGGAGAGGGACAGGAAAATTGCCAGGAGCGGGAGAGAGGAAGGAAGCGCCCCGTAGCGTAGCGAAGGGCCGCGCGACTGACGAACGAAGCGACGCCAGCAATTTTATTAGACAGTTAGACTGGAACGTGATCAAATTCATGTTTTCGTTGCGTTTCAGCCAATGGCCGTGATTATTCCCTCCCCTGTTACGTTAGGTTGTCTCCGTAACCGTTCAATCTGTCAGATGTCAAGTTGGATTCTAGCTAATATCACCAATGCCGGCCTGCCTGCGGCAACCCGTGGCCTGTGCGAGCGTGCAAACGAAGCATGACCAAGTGACGGCAGCGCACTGCCAAACGGCAACCGAAAAACGAAAGACGAGATGGAAATGAATCAAATAAATATCAGGGTTCGGTTGGCCCATGCATCTCACGCCATCTCCTTCAGTATTCTCAATTCTTCAAAAACCTAGAGGGCCAGCATCGCCATGTCGGTGACCGCGTCAATCAAGGGTTACTATCGAGACTTGCTAAAGTTAACGCCAGCCGATTACAAGTCGGATCGGCGAATCGCACTAACTCTTGCCACCCAACTTCCCTTCCCGAATGGCGTAGTTCCCAGAATTCTCAGGTCGCATTTCCTCCGGGCCGACACCGATCAGCGCGCCGAAGCTATTGGCAACTCGTGCGCGAACGGTCCTGCCTTCGACTCCCTCATCATCTTGCTCCGCCAACTCCTCGCAGCATACCCCGATTTTTGGCAAATCCGCGACCACCAGCTCTTTACCTTGGCATTTCACGATTTTGGCCGGAGCCAAGTCGATGACTACATCGTCAAGGGCAAGCTCCTCGAGCTCCTCTACCCAATCGCGACCATCCAGCTTCATCGGGTCGACGTAACCCTAGGCGAACTGATCTGGCACCCGCTCATCACCGACACCCTCTGGTCGCACCCCACCCTCTCCTTCTTCCGCCGCAAAACCTGGGCCAAGAAACCCGGCGCGACCTCCTGGGAACCCTACAACCTCGACGACAAATTCGCGCTGCCCACCCCCCCCTTCCAACCCCCCGACCAAGGCCGACACCTCAACCTCAGCCACCACCTCTCCCGCAAACTCGGCATCCACACCATCGACGGCTCCAGCGTCGCCTTCGCGGGGCTCTTCCCCCCCATCATCCCCATCATCACGCGCGGCGGGCAACCCCTCGCCAGCATCCGCACGCTGACCCTCCACGGACCCTGCAACCACCGGGTCCTCCGCGACGGGACACTCGCGCCGGTGGTGCTCAAGCGGCGGTACCGGCTGCGGGCGCTGCTCAACCTGGCCGACAGCGACATCCGCACGTTCCACCAGGACACGAGCCCCGTCGTGGAGCAGCTGGATCCGGATCCGGCCCTGTGCGAGACCACGCAGCGGCCACGCGAGCGCTACCTGGCCAAGTTGGCGCGCGGGGCGCAGGCGCGCGGCTGGACGTTTGAGGATAGCCCCGAAAGGTATTTCCTCCTGGTGTATGTTGAGTGTGATGCCGTGCAGGGCGCGTCGTATCGGCCGGCCAGTGACCAGTTTGGGGAGTATATCCCCCCGCTTGCGGGGAACGGTACGTGTTTTTTTTTTTTTTGTTTTTTTTGTTTGGTGTTGGCGTGGTTGGGTTGTGGTGGCTTGGGTGACTGTTGCATCAGGTGTTGGTTGGAGTGGCAAGCTGACAGATGGGTGGCACAGGAGAGCAGAGATGGGCGGCGGCCCCGTACCTTCCGCTGCGGAAGAAAGACGAAAAGGCTAAGAAGAGCGATAGTAGAACGAGAGCTCCGAAGAAAAGGGATCTTTCCAAGTACGTCTACTAGATTGCGGCATGGTGGGTCAGCGGGGAAAGGCGAGAGAAGGACTGGTGTTCTAGCGAGTAGCTCGAGGCGATAGGAAGAGCAAAGAGCATAGACAAAGGTAGAGAATTGGCAATCTAGAAGAAGATTGAGGATAATTATGACGAGGTAATTCTACCTACATTTTTCTTATCTCTCGGTTTGGGCGTAAATTAGTCATTAATTGTTAAGGTCTGTGTGTGCCTGGAAGAGGGAAGATCAATCGCGAGAAGAAAAGAAAATAAAAATGAAAAAAAGGCAATGTAGTTAACATGGGCAAAGGCTCATCGACCAGCCCCCCTCCGATGAGTCCGATCGGCCCTCACCGAAGGAGAGGAGATGGCCGGTTTGCGCCGTTCTAGGCGGGCGTCCCCGCTCAGAACATCCCCGGACAATGTTGGGGGCTCAGACTCCTCAAGCGAGAAGCCTTCCCAGAGTCGAGCTGGCCAATGACCGGCCATGTGGCTCCTGATCCGGCAAGTGGGTCCGACTCCATCCTTCCCTCCCAAGCAGTTTTTTTCTTTCTCTTTTTTCTTATCAGCGAAACATTAGATTTTTCACTGCAGGTCATTGCCATAGTTAACGCCACCACATTCGCGGCTGATTGGTTGTTTGGATTGGTGTTCAGATTTATTTGGTAATCCTGCAAACTGATGAGAGGGTTGGCAGTGGTTGGATCCATCTCCAAGAGCGCTGTTGTGCCCAGCCAACACTGAACATGACCATTTTCACGGTATTATTAGGTAGGTATTATTTTTCTAATTATCCCAAGTCCCTTCTAGCGTTTCCCATTACTTTGTCGCGATTGACCTCTTATCATACTCCACCGTAATATCCGTCACCCGCAGAATCCCGTCTTCCGTCTGCAGCCCCTCCCCATCATCACCCAGCATGCTCCGGTCGCTGCGGTCGTCAACCGACTTCTGCAGGTGTAGGTCATGATCGCTGTTGCCCGGCAGAGGAGGTCTGCTCGTAGCGGTTCGTCTACTGTGGTTGTTGCTGCTGCCGATGCCCATCTCCTTGTCATAAAAGCTGCTTGGCGTGCGGTGGTGGTGTTGGAGAGATGTTTTGGCATCGCGGAACAGCACACGGAGCATTGGGATGCTGGCGGCGATGATGGAGGAGCAGACCTCGGCGTTGCCCCAAATCCAGAGCGTGATCCCCTCCGCTAGAAGTTTGTTAGCGATTGGGTCCCAGGCTGTCTAGTTAGGGAGGGCTGATTACCGAAATCTGGCGCCAGCAGCCTCGGGATCTTGCTGGTCTTGACGGCGGCGGTGGCACCGGCGAATATGCCCATGCTCATTGCAAGACCAGCGCCCAGCTTTTCCTTGCGCTTCATCTGCAAACCCCACAAAAACTTCCACGGAAGCAGCGCCAGGGTAAAATCCATCAACGCCGAGTAGCCGGAGGAGAAGAGGTTGTAGTAGACGACGATTCTGGGGTCCCAACATGTGCCCTCGACGGTCATGTCCCAAGCTTTGTGGATCGGCATACAGCTGATCCAGGGAAAGAGCGCGGATACGGTGATGGCGACGTTCATGGAGATGATGCAAAACCAGGTGACCTTTTTGTACCAGCCGTCCGTTATTTGCAGAAGTGTCAGGCCGAACGATGTCTTGCTCCAGACAGCGGCGGTCACGGAGAAGGTGCCGGCCACGTTGGCGGGTAAGAGTAGCGTGTTTATGTTGCGCATGTCAAAGTCCCAGATGTGCAGCCCATAGCCTAAACTAGTCGCATAACTGAGGATCGACGACTCGATGATGATGCAGACCTTATTGAATGAATGAGTATGGCTGAGGAAAAGCACAGGGGGAGGGGCGATGAGCATACCCATGAAGCTATGAGAATTACATCATCCCACCACAGACTCCGTCGTTTTAGCAAGCGGCAATATATTCGCAGAGAGAGAAATATTGTGGAAAGAAGCGCTTGTGACCAGATGCTGGCAAGGAGCTTTGGGGCGGCATTGTCGTGCGGAAGAGCGGCCAGTTGCTCCGGAGTCAGAGGGACCGAGACGACGGCGAATTGTTCCGGGGTTTGGTTCATAGATACGGTGCTGCCTTCGGCGCCTAGCTCCAATTGTCAGAATCACCTGCCTTTTGGGTGTAGGGGGCCACGTGGAAACCGTTTGCAAAGGCACACCTCGCGCAAGGTATAAGAAAAGGAGGAAGCGGTTTAACTATGGGACAGCAATGAAAGGCGGGATCCTTGGCGAGTCATGGCACGAGATGCCCCTCGGAGGGGCGCACATATCCCCTGGAGGAATGATGCTCGATCAAGACCAGCAGACAACTGGGACATGATTTGCACCCGATGACAGCCAGCCCCAACTCAATCACCCAAAAGGCGGCAAGCCTGATGAAGGATCTTCGTGTGGAGGCGCCGCTAGTGTGTTTAGTTGGGAGCTTTGGGTCAGCGCTTATCCCGGATGGAGGCTAGAAAAACGGCATTTGCCATGGCGGACAGTCCGGTTTTTTAGCACTTTGTTATGTCTCACATCTCGGAGAGGGATTGTCTCCGAAGGTGTCGACTGTGTTAACAGCGAGTCTCGACGTCATGATCTAATTGATTCGTTTCGCTCTCCGTTTCCAAAAGCAAAATTAGGTGGGAAGTATTCCCGCCGTGGGCATGTGAGTACAGTGAGTTGAGTCCACTGTTGACTGTTGCGAGTGTTTGCTGGTTGATATCAAGTTGAAGAGGCGAGGGTTTGAATACCGGGTTGACCGGGTACTTGGCAACTTGAGTTTTGGGTATCTCGATAATAAATATCGGTGATGAGTGGTCGATCAAGAAGACGGCGTGGCAAGATTCCGAGGGAGCGGTTGCCCTCGGCCCCACCAATCGCGTGGACTTCCCCCACACCAATTTCAGGAAGCCGGGGTTGACACGCGCCAAGAGCGGTGGAGAGGCGCCGGTCAAGGTGTTAGCGGTGGGATGGCCGTTGAAAATATCAGTTTGGGAAAGGGACGACTTTTTGGGTAGTCAGGGCCGGAACAGAAGCTTGACTTTGAGATCATGGTAGGTTGTGCGCGCGTTTTATTACCTAGTTAAATCCGAGCTGCAGTGGCGAGCCGAAATCTCCCTTCATTTCAGACATCATGATGATGATGAATCGATGATACTGGAGTCGCTGGAAACTCACATTCTCACACCAGTCCTCGTCGTGCATGCTGCGCGGGTAGCGGTTGCGGAGTCGGCGCGGGTGGGAAAATTGAAGAGCGGGTCTTGATTGTTTGTCGCCATCGCGTTATGCGGATGTGAAGTACCGGTATGGCTGACATCCATGATGTATGCGCCGGGTTTACCATTATGATTGGTTAGTTAGTGTCTAATAACAGTGGTTTAACGGCGTGCCAGTATCTCACCCCTTCGAACTGTAAACAAGATGGATGTGGGGAAAGAACATGGCCTACTACTGTGTACAACCTTGAACCAGTTGAATTAAGCATGGTGCGCTGCTAGTACGGCTAGATTTCTACGACGCTATTTGCATGCTGTTTACTCCATTTCTCTGGTCCACGCCCATCCATCCCTTTCTCAAGTCCAAAGCCGGGAATTCTGAGCAGTTGGCTTGATGGCAATACCTGCTGCCCTGCTTACTCTATCCTCCACACGCCATCCACCAGCAACTCATTCGCCATTGTGCGATGGAGGCTGTATAGGGGATGGTGGCTGTGTCAGAAAAGGTTCTCTCATCAGCTCATTCTGCGACGGTTGACCAGCATTGTTCACCACCAGTTGGTCACCGTTGCCCACCACCAGGTGGCCACCGCTACGCACCACCAGTTGGCCACCGTTTCTCACCATCACATGGGCACCACTATTCACCACCAGATGACCACCGTTCACCACCACAGAGGCACGGTTATTCACCACCAGAGGGCCAACCCTAAGACCCCAGTGGTCGCGGTAGGCTGCCGTCCCGATTATCGCCGGATGGTCGTCGTCGTTCATCGCTGGATGGTCGCCGTTGTTTGCCACAGGATGGTCGCCGTCATTCATCAGAGGATCGACCCTAATGCCCCAATGGTCGCCGTGGTTTACCACCCCGTTTATCGCCGGCTGGTTGCCGTTGTCTACTCGAGGGTTGATCCTAATGCCCCAGTGATCGCCGTTGTTCACCAACCCGTTTATCGCCGGATGGTCGCCGTCGTTTATCACCGGATGGTCACCGTTATTTACCACCAGGTGGCCACCATTGTTGACCATTGGCTGGTCGCCATCGTTTATATCGGGGTGGTCACCGCGGTTCATCACCGGAGGGAGTCCGTCGATCATTAGCGGATGGTTGCCGTCGTTCGCCGCCGGATGGTCGTCGTTACCGCCCTGGTGACCACCGTCAAGTGCTGGTCCCGGATAACCACCGTCATCCATTTCCAGATCACCACCGTTGGTTATCTGAAGCTGGGCCCCCGGAGACCCTCCTCCCCACAGGAGTTGCCTCGCTTGCATCAGATCGTCCCAGGTCAAGGCACGACAGTACCCGCGAAAAGGTACCGGCATGCAGCCCGGGACCGGCGCGTCGCGAGCAAGACTGTTGTAAGTGTATCCGTGGGGGGCGTGCTCGTGGGCCCCGTCGTCCCGGCTCTCGAGAGGCTGATTCGGTTGTCGGGCAACGCCCGGGATGTAGTTGATGACCACGGGCGCGGCGAATAAATACTGTTGCCTCCTAGGTATTGTTGCGCCGTAGGTTCCGGGGCCGATGTAATTGATCGTAACCGGACCAAAGTAGTGGTGATCTATCTGCTGGCGGAATAAAGGGCGGACAAACCAGTTTATTGTGACCGGGCCAATGAACCAGTTTTGGTCTGACGGGAAAAGATCATCGGCATTACCTCCATCATAGTTGATAATGGTGTGACGGTAGTACGTATGGGAAGTTCCTTCGCGGTCGGTAGCGATCTAGGTACCTGGCCGCATGTTCGAGGTGGGTGAGGGGTTACCTATTTTCGTTATTGGTTGTTGCTTGGTTGACCGAAGTCAAAATATGGATGGGTGTCCCGTGGAGAGTCACTGCCCGACTGGAAGTTGACCGCGGCCAACTTCCATCCCGAGCCGCTGGATCCCACAATCCCAAGATGGAAAGAACGAACAGCCATGTCTCCCAGTTTGGGTGCTCGGGTCCGCTTAACAGTTATCATCTAGCCCTCGAAGCTCCTTGGTGTTGGGCTTCGCGGGACGGCCCAACCGTAGCCGGTAAGGGTCATGGCTAGGGACACCCTTTTTGTCGTCGGGACTCCGGAAAGCGCCGAGGGTACTGGATCAGCCGTTGAGTGATGCAGAAGGTGGTAGACGACGAACGCAGGCTTTTGTGAGATGAAATTGAAGTGGTTTTTGATTTTCAGTAAGCCTCTAGAGTGGGACAGCCGACTTAACATGTCAGGATGAAGTATGAGCGAGGGTAAGGAAAGCATCGGATGGTTTCCCTCTTGCCCTTGCGACAACAGAAGCAGCCAAGAGACTAGACAATAACAGACACTCAGAGTCCCCGGCCGGACATCTTATTACGACATCAACAATCTAAAACCAAACGCCCTCGTGCTCATGGTACCACCGGTCGATACCAAGCCTGATTCCAGCCATCTATATCCATACACACACACACACACACACATCCCTATCCCCACCCACCCTAATTTTCCATCCCTGCCCATCTACCTCCCAACCCAGAAACACGCCGCCACCCTACGTCCGATCCCCAACCGCAATCCTCAACTCCTCCAACTCAGCCCTGACACCACGATACAGCTCCTGCGCCTCCCTCTCCCGCGTGCTCACGAACGCCACCTCGGCCCTCAGCGCCGCCAGCCGCCGTTGGATGGCCTGCTGCTCGCTGGCCTCCAGGATCTTGAACCCGGCCAGGGCGTTCCGCGCCTTCTCCAGCGCGGCGTGCGCCTCGCCGACCTTGCCGCGCAGCATCTCGGCGCGGTTTTTGTACCCGCCTAGGTGCAGGCCGAGTTTCTTCTCGAGCTTGTTGCCTTTTTCGGCTGAGGCGAGGAGGGCGTCGACGGCAGACTGGGGTGGGTTAGCGTGTGGCGATGGGAAGGGGCAAGGGAGCAAAAGGAGAGGGGAGAGGCTTACATCGAGAGCGGCCTTCATGGTGGAGACCTGGTCCTCCTCGTCATCGTCGTCGTAGCAACCGAGACCGAGAAGTAGGGAGTTGCTGTTCTCCTTGTTCCAGACGGCCTCGATTTCTTCGGGCTTTAGCTGAGACTTCATTTCGAGGAGGACCTGGAGGCGCGCTTCTGCTAGAGCAGGGTCGTCCATTTCGGGGAGGGGGATTGGTTTGACTGGAGGAGCACCAGCGAGCGGGTATTTGCTCGCGTCGTGCGCCATAAGCAGAGCTGCCTCGCGCGCAACAAGAGCCTGGGCAGGGTCGTCGATTTTAGAAGCCGCCCGTACAAGCTCGTTGTAGTCGACTTCTATGGCTCGCGGTAGGTCTCGCTGCATCACCTGCGTTCGCCGCTTGCGCTCTAGCATTTCCTGCGCCTCGAGGAGCTGCCGATCCCGCCGGTCACGTTCTGCGGCATCCTCCTCCATTTGCTCAGCCGTTAACGGTTCTTGTTGGTCCTCTGGCAGCTCCAGCTCCCAATCCGTTTCCTTGGGTTTGGGCAGGGCGGCGAGGCGCTGCTTGAGTTGATGGCGCAGGGATAGATCCCGCATTCTAATGTCTGCTGGGGTTCCCCCAACCATGTCCATATCCTTGTCGGCCGCATTCAGGGCAAAGGTATCGCGGGGCGTGCGGAGCGGTGTTTGCCCGACTCGAAGTGGTGTGGCGCCGACGCCGTTGGCAGCGGACCGCAGAGGCGTTGCTAGGGGGTTTGGTGTAGCGACAACCTGCTTCCGAGGCGCGACTGATTCGAATCCTGTAGACCCAGCCCCTTCATGGAGGGGTGTGTTCTCACCACCTAGCAATGACGATTGGGTCTCCGTCAACGCCCGAATGTTGCGGATCTCGTTCGCAATGTGGTCTTCCTGAGCCGGCGCAAGGGGTGTCCTGATGGGGGCGTTTGTGTTGAGAGTCGAGTAGTTCCCAACTAACCCTCGCGTGGCATCATTATCGCTGTCACGAGCCAACGCGCTCGCCCGCTCGCCAATCATGCCCATCTTGACAAGCTCCTCCAACTCCCCGTCGCCGACCTGCGGCGCTGGTAGCGATAGGGCTTTCCGTTTGCTGCTTTGTTCGGCTTCGCGGATCTTCTGCATCTGGCCGGCTTTGATAGCAGCTTGAGTAGACGCAGACGGCCCATCCTTCTCGTTTTTCCTTCGCTTCCGGTCGACGTCACCGTCCTCCTCGCCCTTCCGTTTGTTGCCGACTTGTTGCTTTTTCGGGTCAAAGTGGGTTCGCTGGAACTCGTTGCGTGAGATTTCATCGGTGGTGTCGTAGAAGCCGGGTACTGCTTTCTTTTCGAACGGAATATCGGCGTTGTAGTCCATCTGCCCCTTCTTGCGCGTCGTGACTTTGATGTTGATGCCGGCTGTCTTGAGCTCTCGCCGCTTCTGCAACGCTGCTAGCCGTCGTGACTCTTCCTGCTGCCTCTCACGAGCCTTTCGCTTCGCCTTTTTACCCTGAGTGTTGGCCAAGCGGGCGCGGGCCTCGCTGAGCATCTCCTTCTCGTCCTCGTCGAGATCAATCGTGTCGGGCCGGGCGGGCTTCGTCTCGGGATCTGGGTCGACCTCGCCTGGGCGCAGGCGGCGAACGTCATCGGCTGAAGGCGCTTGGGTCTCGCCGCCTTCCGGGCCCATCAAGCCCAAGGAGGACCCTTCCCGCTGCTCGGCCTCGTCGAGGAGGCGTTGATACCGCTCGAGGCATTGGTTGGCGGTGCGGCCGACGATAGGGGCGATGGTGCGCCATTGCGTGGGCATCAACTTCGCGAGGTGCAGCAACCTCTCATCCTCCTCCTTGCTCCACTCGATCTTCTTGATGCTGGGGTCGAGCCATTCATTCCACCGGGCCTTGCATTGCTTCGGCGTCTTGCGCGCCAGCAGCGACGACACGCGCGCCCACTGGTTCAGCCCATATTTGCTGACGGACGCCTTGAGGATTTCATCCTCGATGTTGGTCCACACGCCTCCCTTGACGACGGGCATCTTGATGGTCGATGTTGATTGATGTTTGATGATGAAAATCGTGGCGCGGCTTGAACTCTCACGACCGGGATTTGGGGTTGCGGCAGGCAATGTGGGGGTTGATTGGTTAAGATGCAATTGCAGACCCACTCAAGTTCGAGTCCGCATACCCTCGTCGCGTTCCATACGCGATACTTCGGAGGTAGTTTCACAGCTCTGAGATCCTTGAAATTGAAACAAGCAAGCCGGCCAACCAAAGCACCATGCAATCACGAAAATTCAATTTAACAAACAAGTTTTGAGATAAACAGCTTACTTAAGATCTAGCCTAATCTTTCTTTGTTTGCATTACGCAATGGCCTCAGAGGCAGCCTCTCCCCAACGGGAGGCTACGCCATCGGTCTTCCCCTCCTCTCTCCCCCAGAAGCGCTCCCTCGAAGATGACCACAGCCCGGCCGTATCGTCACCGTTGAATCCAGAACCGAAAGCTCAGAAAGCCCAGGTGCAGATTGACGACAGCCAAGTCATGGCGCGCGAAAAACGAACGAAGAAAGAGTCTCTCAAGAAGAGGGAATCCAAAGGCGCCCCCGAGAGTGCTAGAGCGACACCTGATCCGAAGCTGCGAGAAGCTCCCGGCGAGTTGGCGCCCAACCGATACAAGCTCGCCCACCCCAAACCGACCGATTTCGAGCTATCCAAGGGTCCCGTGTTTCAGAGTCACCATGAAGTACAGGACTCCGAGGGGAGGACAATCGAGTTCGTGGAGACGATGGATCAGTAAGTGCCCGATCCTGTATTTCGTAGCTCTCGTTTTGCTAATATTCGCAGCGTTTACAACAAGAAAAACTTCCACTACACCCACTGCATCGCCGACCCCGCCTTCCCCTCCATGTTCTACTACAGAAATACCGAACCGCCGCCTTTCGGCGCCCACATAGCCTTCGAGGATGCCGCATCACACATGTTTTTCACACGAGATGGAATGCATGTCACCTCAGACAAAGGTTTCCGTATGACGCGCGCGAACGTCGCCGTCCGGGAAGGACGATGGTACTGGGAGTGCAAGGTTACCCGGGGCATCTTGAAGGAGCGAAAGGAGGGCGACCCGATATCACACGGCCATGTTCGGGTGGGGTTTGCGAGGAGGGAAGCATCGCTGGATGCGCCGGTCGGGTTCGATGCATACAGCTACGGCATTAGGGATGCGGCGGGGCAGAAAGTACACATGTCACGACCAAAGGACTTCTTTCCGGCGGGTGAGGACATCAAGGAAGGGGACGTGATCGGGATGGAGATCCAACTACCGTCGGAGCGCCTGCAGCGAAAAATCGTCCAAGGCCAATACAACCCGGCCATCGACCTTGCGGATGAGGAGTCTGAGCATGCCCCGGAAGCGCCAAACATCATCCGCGACCGCATCCCGATTCGGTTCAAAGCACACATTTACTTCGAGAAGATCGACTACCACACGACTAAGGAGCTTGAGGATTTGATGAACCCATCCCCAATGGGACCAGGGCACAGCCACCAGGGACCGAACCCGAACCACCCGGTCCCGGCACTGCGCACGCTCCCAAATTCGTGCGTCAAAGTTTACAAGAATGGCGTGTTTATGGGAACGCCATGGACGGATCTGCTGGCGTTTCTTCCGCCGGCTTCGAGACAGGCGCAGCAGACGGGCGGGCGAGAGGCGCTCGATGACGGGACATTGGGCTACTATCCGGCCGTGAGCGTCTTTCGGGGCGGTGCGGTTGAGACGAACTTCGGGCCTGACTTCTGGTACCCGCCGCCGCCCGAGGACACAGAGATGGGGGATGTTGATGGGCCGTTGCCAAAGAAAATCGAGAAGATACGAGCGGTCAGTGAGCGCTACGATGACCAGATCGTCGAAGATATTGTTTACGACATCGTAGACGAAGTCGGGTTCTGGATGCAAGACGGCCAGAAGGTCATTGACCGATCGGTCCGGGACGAAAAGGCCGAGGCAGTGGCGCCAGGGAGGGACGAGATTAAAGAGCTAGTCCAGGACGACTAAAGCAAATAAGAACGACAATTATGATATCAACGCCAGCTCTGAAAAAAAAGGGCATCATCATTAGGGTATCTCACGAACGCGGGCTCTCGGCAGGCGGTTCCACTACCACCAATGCACTCGACACTCCCTCCTCGGCCTCCTCCAATTTGTCCTGCTCAACCACCACTTCCTTCCCTGCCGCCTCCCCATCCTCCACCCCTTCGCCAGCCGCCTCCCCATCCTCCACCCCTTCGCCAGCCGCCTCCCTCTCCATCTTCTCCCTCTCCTCCTTCCCCCGCTTATGAAAATACCACAACACAAAAAGCAACAAAAACACAGCCACACTCCACAGCACATTCATGCCCACAAACGCGGGCCACCTCAGCTTCAGCGCATTCACGATCGCCTTCAGCATGCTCTTCACAATCGCCGGCGTCAGCACCAAATCACCCAAATTCTTGGGCACCAGGAACCGCGCCAGCCCGCTCGCGTCCGTGTCGCGCTTCAGGCCCTGCGCCTCGGCCGCCGCCGCCAGCACCTCGGGCCCCAGCGAGCTGGTCAGCTTCTTGGGCAGCTGCGTCACCAGCTTCTGCATTGACGACGGCAGCTTCTCGAACCCCCGCTTCAGCACGTCGTTGCGCCCGTCCAGAAGCGCCGTGAGGTCGTCGACGGCGGTTGGCGCCCCGCGCATCACGTCCTTGAGGACGACAACGAATTGCCGCAGGAGTGATTGCACTTCGGCGGAGGCGGCGAGCGCGGCGGTTTTGGTTTTGCTGGGTGCTGCCGGGATGGGGGCGGTGGTGGTGGTGGTGGTGGCCGCGGGATTGGCGTCTTTGGTGGTGTCGGTGGTGGCGGCGGCAGCGGTATCGTCGGTTGGTTCGATGCCCAGGCGGGCGAGCACGTTGTTGAGGTCGTCCCATTCGCGGTCGGCTTCTTCTGGGGGGACGGCAGCGGCGGCGGAGGGGACCGTGAGGGCGGTGGAGGTGGACGGTTTGCGGTGGAAGAGGCGCGAGAAGCGGCTCGGCTTTTTGGTTGGTGTGGCGCTGGCGGTGGTGGTGGTGGCAGTCGTGGAGGTAGCTCCGTCGTCGGTTTTGGGCAAGCAGAATGAATCGCTGTCTTCCCAGACTAGGTCGGGGGTTTTGGGGCGCGGCGGGAGAGGGGGCCGCGAGCTTGCGTCGTCGTCGTCGTCATCGTCGTTTGATATCAGGCGTTCCAGGAAGCGCTCATCCTCATGGTTGAGGAGGGGAGCCGGGTTATTGCGCGCTGGGATGGCGGGAGCAATTTCATCTGCGGCTGCTGCACTGTTGTTGGTCGGCTGCGATTGTTCGGCGGAATTTCCTGTCCCTGCCTTTTCTACCTCCTTCCCTGCCTTGGTTGCCTCCTTGTGTTTCTTGCCGAAAAACGGTGCCATTGTGAGTTGTGTTGATGTTTGAACGAGGGAGGAGTTCTCCGGGCTGAAGGCGAGGCGGGGAGGTTTCGCTCCAAGCTTAACTACTCGCCTGCAGCTGCATGCCCGCCCCGTCATTGCGCTGCTCTGCCGCCCGCCATCGCGTCCCATCGGCTGTTGGCCAAGAGGCCTCGTACATGCCAAG